CAACCAAATTCAAATTCATTTTCCAAAATCTTTGTATATTGTTTATATAAAAGTTTGGATTTTACCTGCTTAGCAGCTTTTTACTCGAGGCAGTATTCATTGACCTGATTCTGAACGTAATGTATTCTACATCCAAGAATATCATAAAGTTCTATATTGAGATTTACAGCATGAACAGTTTTGAGTTTTAACTCTAAATAAATAGGATAGTTTTGTGAACATAATTCATCCCATGGTGAAGGAAGTTTAAGAAAATATTGTTGTAACCAAAAGTTTAAATGTTTTTCATCCAATTTTTGATATTTAGAGATATATTTTTTAGAAAAATCATCAAGATACTGAATATCACATAATTTTAATTTTGATAAAATAAATTGAGCTTATTGAGTAGGATCCAGAGATTTTGTACTACCACAAAACTCATTTTTCAAGATTTGGGTTAAATCTTTTAGAAGTTAAGGTATATTTCTTACGGCTAATAGAGTTGATTTCTGCTATTCTTTGAAGGTTATGGATTCCCATGTTTTGAGAAATTGAAGGACATCACATTGCCATGTGCCACAAAAATAATTAAAGAATCTTTTTTTGTTCCATTGCTCCTTGTATCCTGTGACAACAATAGACATAGATTGTGTCTAATCATCTATGATTTTTTCATAGTCTTTAATAGTGACTTTGGTTATGTCTAAATAAGTACCACTTTGAGAAACTGTTCGTTTGTTTAACGAATCGATAATAGGGGTTTCAATCTTAACCTGACCTGGTTGGCCAGAATCAGATATTTGTTTTATATCATCCTTATTTAGGTGAGAATATTTTTCTTTTAAATGAGAAAGATGTTGATTCACTATATCGAGATCAAGCAAATCTGGAAATCGTAGCATGTCATCAATATCTGGGTTAGATATTGCTTTTGCTTTTCTTTTCTCACGCTCCTCTGTTTGAGGGATAAGAATTTCACTTGGTTCTAGATTTGATTGATCATCAGAACTATCATTTTCATCTGATGTGGTTTCATTTGATGAAATTGATTTATCCTTGACTACTAGGTTAGTAACAAGAATTTTAAAATTATCATTTGCTGTATCATTATTTGCTTCTTCATTACTGGCACTGGTTGTGTCATAGTTAAGCAAGCTTTGGAGGTTTCTCCAAACCAATTCCTATTAGACTTACAAAGAATTTTGATTAACAATTACAAATAGATTCTCAAGGCTAAAGAGGATATATGGGCTCTGAAATTCATGGTAAGTTGGCTTACTGACGGTGATAAAAACATAAGGTTCTTTCATGCGTCAACCATCACCAGAAGAAGATTCAATCAAATTGTGCGTCTTGAAGATCAAGAAGGCAATTGGAATACTGAGTCCAGTAGCATGAGATAAATAGTGCAAAAATATTTTTATGACCTTTATACGACATTACAGATAGAAGGACGTTGGTGGTACGAAGATGGGCTAAGATAAATCGTTCAACTCTTACAGCGAGAAATAAGGAATTCTTCAAACTAATTTTAGAACTTGAAATCTAAAAAATGGAATGGTCTTTTAAAACTTTCAAAGCCCTTAGGCTAAACGGATTACATCCTTATTTTTTTCAAAGATGCTGAAATATTGTGAAAGAAAAGGTCTGTGAGACAATCAAAGGCATTTTAGGCTAGGTTGATGCCTGAGTCCCTTAATGATACGTTTATATCTTTAATTCCCAAGATGGTTAACCCATCACGCATTGACCAATTCAAATCTATTAGTCTGTGCAATACCACTTATAAAATTGTTACAAAAAATGTGGTCTAGAAGCTCAAGCCATTTCTCAATAAAATCATATCTCCTTTTTAAACCAGCTTTTTACCATGAATGAAAGGTTATGATAACTACATTATTATCCAATAGATGATTTATACTTTTAAAAAATGTAAAGCAAAAAAAAGATAAATTACGGTTAAACTGGATCTGAAAAAAGCTTATGATAGACTTGAGTGAAGTTTTATCAGAAAGGTTTTGTCTTTCTTTGACATACCTATATCCCTTATTCACCTTATCATGAGCTATATCTCATCACTTTTAATCTCAGTGCTTTTGAATGGAGGAATGCTTGAAAGCTTTAAAAAAAGCTTATGATAGACTTGAATGAAGTTTTATTAGAAAGGTTTTGTCTTTCTTTGACATACCTATATCCCTTATTCACCTCATCATGAGCTATATCTCATCACTTTTAATCTCAGTGCTTTTGAATGGAAGAATGCTTGAAAGCTTTAAGCCTTTAAGGGTATAAGGTAGGGGGACCCTCTATCCCTGTACTTATTCATCATGTGTATGAAATTTTTTAATTTGAGGATTTTGGAAGCATGTGAAGAAAAAAGATGGTTAACTTGTAAACCATCTAGAAATGGCCTTTCTTTTTCCCATGTTATCTTTACGGATGATATAATTCTTTTTAAAAAGACAGATAAAGGTACTGTTAAAGTAATGAAAGAGGTGCTCATTTCCTTTTATACTGAATTTGGGCAGAAGATCAACCTTACCAAGTCACATATTTTCTTTTCGACCAACACTAGTCACAATCACAAGAAGACTGCAACAAATATTTTACAAATTTAAAAAATTGAAGACTTAAGCAGATACTTGGGGTTTCGCTTTATAAGGGTCGGGTTAGTAAACATGAGTATTCTTTTATCAATGATAAAGTTAAGGTAAAATTGACGAGATGAAAGACGGGCTTGCTTTTTCCTGCAGGAAGATTACTGTTGATAAAATATGTTATGTAAATGATCCCGTCTTATTATATGCAATGTCTGCACTACCCCCAAGTGTTCGTAAGGAGCTCGATAGAATCAATAGAAATTTTTTATAAGGAGACTCAGAGCAAAAGAAAAAAATACACCTCCTAAATTGAAAAAAAAAACCAAGAATAAAAATAAGGGTGGACTAAGATTAAAAGATGCTAAGATACAGAACTAAGCCCAACTAACCAAGTTGGTATAGAGGTTTATCTATCACAAGGGGGAACCTTGGGCCCTAACCATTCAAGCTAAGTATTTAAGTAGTGAGAATAAAAAACCAACACAAAACCCTTCAATAACATGGAGAGCGATGAAGTAGGTGGGTCTTGTCCTTGCAAGAGGATTTGGTTAGGTCATTCGAAATGAGGCAAACACCAATTTTTGGTATGACAAATGGATGGGGGTGACATAATACGATCTCTGATCCAATGACCTTTTAACAAAAATGAGGAAAGAATTAAGGTCAAGAAAATTCTATACATTCTTCATCTTCAGAGGAAGTGTTCGATCTCCTTTCAATTACCGTCACTAGTGATAGAGGCTGGGAAAGCTATTCATGCTCAATTATATGGACAAGAAGATGACGTACCTTATTGGATAGCTTCGTAAATAGAGAATTTAATTTCTGCTCAGCTTACGATCTTATAAAAAAAAAGTGATAGTGTTAGGAAAACTGAATGGAATTGGATTTGGAGATTAAAGGTTCTACCTAAACTCTAATTTTTGTCTAGCAATGTATGCATGAGATTTTGCCAACAAAAGGTTTCTCATGCAACATGGAATAAAAGTTCAAAATAGTTGCATGTTATGTGGTCAAAGGTAAGAAGACATTCAGCACATTTTATGTAACTGTCGATGGACCAAAAACTTATGGAGGAACCAATGAGAGGTTGCAAACTTGTCTCTGGGTGGCAATTTTAGGGATTGGGTCTAATTCAACGCTATTGATAATAGAAGATCGAAACACCATTCTGTTTCATATGGCTTGTTATTTGTCCATATCATGTGGGAAGTTTGGCTGAAAAGAAACCATAGGACTTTCAAATGGAGCAGCAAAAGGGTGGATGTTGTCAAGCATGCGATTGAGAAAGCGGGAGAATTCTATGCCTTGAACCAGATAGAGAGGAGAAACGTCCAAGTCTCTTTTGTTCTTGTTAAATGGAAACCGCCTGAGTGTGGACGTTTTAAGCTTAACACTAATGGGTCATCTATAGGAAATCCAGAAAAAGTAGGGGCTGGCACCATTATTAGAGATCATACAGGAAAATGGGTGGCTGACTCTGCCAAATTTATAAAATATGAAACAAATATGTTAGCTGAATTATGGGCTTTTAGGGATGGGTTAATGCTGGCTAAACAACTTAATATTTCTAACTTAGATGTGGAAATTGATGTTGTTGCTATCATTTCTTTGATTAAAAACCAATCCACTTCTAATCTATGTTTGCAATCTTTAATCGATGATTGCAGGAAGTTGCTACTGAAGATTAATTGCTGCGAACTCATAAATACATTCAGAGAGAGGAACACTTATGCTGATGTTTTGGCTCGTTTTAATAGTGATCGTTTTGTAATGTATGAATGTTATGAAAATCTTTTTATGTTATTTTAAGATCCTTTTAATTTTATTTCGAATCTATTTGCCGATGATACAACAAAAAAAACTTTATACCATACTATCTTACTATCTTTATTTAGTTTCAATTTCTTAAAAAAAAAAAAAAAACACAAAAGGTACCGTTGCCATGGGACATTCCACATGTTATGTACAACTTAAAAGGACCCCATCAATTAAAGAAGGGTCCCATCGTTCTTAACCCACATGTAATTTCATTACCAATGAACGACAACCAGGTGGGACCCTTTTCACATGGGGCTGTTTCGATTCCCCCTCGTGATCCAACGATCCTGGATTCACCTCTTAAAACACTCATCTTAGCCGTTTATTCTGGTCCACAGTATTCAATACCATCGGCTGTGCTTGTCCCTCCTTTGTCCTCTTTACTGGCTACACCCTAACTCATCGCTGCCCCACATGTGACAGGCAGCTATATCTGTTGCTGTCTCGGTCCAACCCACGCGCTTATTCCACGTGTCCCCCGGTCTTAGATCCCACATAGGAACCCAGATGACTGGTCATTGAGGAAGCGCGTGCGGGATTTATCATTTCTCATCAATGAAATGCATGCACGACTGAACAAGTAACCTACAACCTAGATATTGTCCTTAGAAACAAATTCTTCCCTATAAAACTAGTTAGCCTTCTTCACAATTCACATCTTTCCCATCAACGCACACTTTTGGTAGAATCACACACAAAAGGTTAAAAAAAAAAAAGTCTAAAGGAATCTGCAAAATAAAAATCCTCAACAAGTTCTTTTGCTTTGAACAAGATTTGGAGCAAGAGGAAACATACTTGAGCATTCTTCAGGTTGTGAAATTATATATAACTTGCTAAGCAATGGAAAAGAGAGTGAATTACGAGAATGATCTCAACCTCGGGGCAACGGAGCTCAGATTGGGATTGCCCGGAAGTGATGAAACTGAGAGACAATGGACTCATAGTATCAGAAATAATAAGAGAACTTCACTTGAGATTTCTGAAGAGTCAAGGTCCAAGAGCAGTTCTGGGGCGACAGCGGCTGGAGATGATGATCACCAAGACAGTACTCCTTCAGCCAAGTATATATTCATATAAAACCTTCTCTTTTAGAAACGTTTACACAAAACAAAATTGGATTATAAGCCTTGACTATATATGGGCTAGTTTTCATAGATCTTATGGAAATTTTCATGAATTAATGCAGGGTACAAGCTGTAGGATGGCCACCAATCCGATCTTACAGGAAAAATTGTTTACACACCAAGAAAAATGAGGTTGAAGGGGCAGGTAAGTATGTCAAAGTTAGCGTTGATGGAGCTCCTTATCTCAGAAAGATCGACCTCAAGGTTTACAGAAGCTACCCTGAGCTTCTCAAGGCTTTGGAAAACATGTTCAAGCTCACCATTGGTAAGAATCATAACCAAGAAATTCTTTTCCCTTGACAAACCAAAGCAAAAAGTATTTTGATTGCTAATTATAAGTTTTCAGAGCTAGTTCTGATCGTTTTTGTTCTGCAATTTATAGGTGCATACTCAGTGAGAGAAGGCTACAATGGATCTGACTATGCTCCAACTTATGAAGACAAAGATGGTGACTGGATGCTTGTTGGAGATGTTCCCTGGGAGTAAGTTCTTTTTCCAAACCTATGTCTCTTTAACTTTATAAGTTTCCTTTATTTTCACCAATAAACTCATATTTTTGTTTCCTTTTGTGTATAGAATGTTCATCTCCTCCTGCAAGAGACTGAGAATCATAAAAGGGTCAGAAGCCAGAGGCTTGGGATGTGTATGAAACACCCACAAATTAAGAATTGTTTAACAAGAAGGGAATTTTCTTTGGCTTGGATTATCTAAATTCCAGAAGGAAGATCAATTTGCTCTTCCTGAGAAGGGAGAGGCTATTTGCTAGAGGAAATTTTGCGTAGATTGACAAGTTCACCTCTTTTTTCCTTTTCTTTTTGTTTTCCATATGAACGGATGAACCATTGGCTTCCTCCATTTCAAATTATCTATAGTTCTTTATAAAGAATATAGCACAAAATCAAAAGGCAGGAAAAAATATAGAATACTTAGATGAGATCCAACCGTACAAAGGAAATACTATTGCTTTACCGTTTTTCCAGGATAAGCATATGTTGCAAGAAGATTAAATGAAAGGTAAGAACTATATATATTTATGTCTACAGTTTTGTATGTATTATTTTGATTTAGAAGTTTAAAACAAATAACAATGATAAATATCTTTCGATATTTCCAAATACGATTTCAGGGAAACGATATCAAATCTAGATTTGTTCCCAATTCAACCTGTTTTTTCCCGTTTTCACATTGCAAACTTGAGATAGATGGTGTCGGAATCGAAACTTGAAAGAAGAATTCGAGGGCTGAAGTTTCATTCAGCTGTGGGAAATATTATTTCTGGAATGAAACCTCATATAAAGTTCATAACAGAAGCATAACTTTTAGTAAAATTACATGGCATATCTTTAAAACCTGTTTAGGTTTAATTGACTTAAGTCTTTTAACCCCTAAAGGGTTCTGTTTCATTTGAAAAATGGTTAAAATTTTTGGGATGGACTAACAAGAAACCCTTACTTTCACATATGCTAGGGTTTCTTTCCTGATCATGACACAGAGATTTCGTAATCGGAGAGAAATGCCGTGGTCAATAGAATTCCTTAAAATTACCGTAGAATTTCAGATCTGTTACTAAGCAACATTCTACAGCAGCTGAAGAAGGTGAAGAAGGAAAGTGAAGAAAGAAAGGAAATCCCATGTTTAACACAAATTAAAAGCAATCCATCGATTAGCCAAAAGAAGAAAATATTTATAGAGTACTAGATTGCTTAGAATTTAGAATGGCGTGGCCTAATAACAAACGTTGCTAGCACAGGGATAGGAGATCTATTATTTGCATAAAAATTTCAAATATCATAATACAATATGCTCCCACTAGAGTAAACAAATCCTAGCTAGAGGATTCGGTATTAGAATTTTTATGCAAGAAACATCAATGACTAGAAATTTATTGTCTTCCAGTGGGAAGATTACTGTTTTTTTTTTTCATACGTGATGATAACCTCGAAAAGTGACACCAAATTAATTAATGACAGGTCTGGAGCAACAGCAAAATAATCCCGAAACTCGTTTCTTCCCCCTAAATGATAGCCATCTATAACTTGTATCAAACAGAATCCAATCTATTGAAATCTAACATAACGATAAAACTCATAAAGTTATGCGAAAGAGCTGAGAGGATGAAGACCCAGAACAGCCATATAATAAAAGAAGCAACACATTAAGCCAATTTAGGAGAAGGTTTGAAAAGGTTCATTTGGTCAGTGTCCTATACATAAAGACTAACTGAGTCTGGCTATTGGCCTAATGGACTATTATTTCAACTATGCTTTTAATAACCGGACAATAAAGGAGTGTATGGTGGAAAAAAAATGGCAAACATTTGGAGCATACTCTACAATCAAAGGAGGCAAGGGGCGAAAAAGAACCATATGGAATATAGAATTAAAGCTTAAAGCAAAGAAGCCATATTATCTTGGTCAGATTTATATTAATGATTGTCTAAAACAGAATTCTAGCTCGACAACAAGGACAATGGACGGATTCCATCTTGAACTGCTGCTTAGGCAGAAATTATCAATGTCAAATTATCAGGTTCAGCATGTCTAGTCAAGAAAAGCAATGACTAGTGTGAAAGCAACCTTTCAACTAAAACAGCCAGCAATCATTTAATTTCATAGTAATTGATGGCACAAAACATATAATATAGCTTCATAAATATTAAAAAAGAAAAAGAAGAAAAAGAGAAAAAACTTAAAAGTTGAGAACATTTAATTTAGACTATTATATAATAAGAATGAGTTTAGACCTTAAACAGGAGGTTTAAAACACAAGGGAAATGCAATTCTATTAACTTCAAAGCCATATTACATACAAATTGAATGAAAGAACACAGATTTGGATTACAGATCACAGTTGAGATCAAATGGATAAAATAATGGTAACAGAATGCGTTAAGAGTTCCAAGATCTATCATCTTGATGCTGGGAGAGGAGGAAAGAGGGCAGCAAAAGGAACCTTACTAAGTTAATATTTCTACTCTTCAATATAAATAATATAATTTAGATCTGATCCAGTGCTCATGCATAGCATCCTTGCCACATTATCAGAATAAAAAACCTGGCTAAAGCATTTGAATTGAGTAGTGAATCATCAATTTCTTCATGGTAATTACAGTGGAAGGCCACCGAAAGACAATCTATTCCACCGAGAAACATACTTAATCATATTTCAGAAATTCAAAAGGTCAAATAAAAGCAGATAAAATTAGAACTTGCTGAAGACGTAATATTTTACAAAACAGACTATACATCTTAAGGCTATTGAGACTTACAAAAACTTCTTCATGTAAAACGTGAGCACCACGTCAAAGGACAAAGGGTAATTAACTTATAGCAACAACATAAACACAGTAGTATAAACCATTTGAAAGACGAGATCATCACCAGCCATTGAAGTATGCATCCTTTCATCCTTATCTTGGAGAGAGCTCATTCTAGAATCCAGTATTGCCAATTGAGACTTCACCCAGCATGGATTATTCCTACCTTCAATCAATAGATCTTTTCCAGTAGTCTTGTGCCTAAAATCTGGATATTTAGGGCTCCTCTGTACATAGAGTAAACAACACCGATTTAACAGTTAACACTGAGTTAACAGTTAGGGCTTCTCTGCCCATAAAGCATTTAATTCTGTTGGTTCAATTGTGCCACAATCATAAAAGATGTAACTCGTCCTTTAACACAGTGATAATTATATTCTTCAGTCAGGAAAGCAAACACTTGTTTTGACTCAAAAGCTTCTTTGGTGAATTTATACGAAACTCTAATATGATATTGATGCATGTAAAGCATTGGCAATGCACTGACTGCAACCTAGCTCTTTTATTTACTTTCAATTTTAAGGAGGTACACGTACATACAAAAGCACACAACCACATTACTTACAATGCAATGCGCTTCCAAATTCAAAATCAGACTGAACAACTACCTTGTTCTTCCTATTATCCCACCATTCCGTAGGATTGGCGTAAAAAGTTTGCCATGGTTCCACAGTAGAGCCCATATTGTTGGCAACATTATTGCCAAATTTTTTATCTGCCGTAAGCAAATCCAAGTTAAAACGAAAACAATAAAAAGACAAAATCTCAATATTATTTGTTCAAAATGTGTTTCAGCCATTCAGGAAATATGACTTACTTAACACCCCACTAAAGCCATGATCATAAAGAAGCCACTGAGGACGAGTTCCTTTCCACAAAATTTATTTGTTGGACAACCATCTATAATCTGATACCAGAAATAACAAAAACAAATAAGAATATAGTTCAAATTTTCAATGAGCCAACAAAAAAAAAGGTTTATAGTAGTTGTGAGGAGCTTTTAATAAGTCTACTGTTTGCCTTCGTCACTTTCAACCATATCTGAAACTAGACGACTATAATTAGGGATATAATCGAGTCGAGTCGAGTCGAATAGTGAGAAACTCGAGCTCGACTCACAACTCGAAGTTCGATATTCAGTTCGAACTCGATCGAATTTTATTTTTTAAATTCGAGCTCGATTCGTGATCGAATTCGAGCTACTCGAGCTCGCTCGATTAAACTCGATTAATATGTAAAAATAAGTTTGATTCATATATTCGACAAAAGTTTGATTATTCATGCTCGAACTCGGACTCGAAATATTTTATTAATTAAAATAATAAAAATATATTTAAATATAAAAACTCGATTAGATTCACGAGTTACTCGAGTCAGATATAAGAATACTCGAATTCGGCTCGATCGATAAGTTGAGTTACTCGAACTCGACTCGATAATAATCGAACCAAATTTGAATTTTTTTCGAATCGAACCCAAATAACTTACAAATACTAATATATCATTTACACTCCTAATCACAACCATATATTTATTGCCCTTTCTCGACATGCTGATACGCAGTATTCGCCAGTTCATCCCAGAATGTCAAATTAATTCTAACCATTATTTTTATAAATGGATGGTAAAGAGAGTGAAAAAAAAAAATCAAAAGTTTAGATGAGGCGGTGTGAGTGTGGACCATTTTTTAGTAGATTGCGCGAAATTTTGTATTTAATCATCAACTAATAACGGTTGATTCAGACGTAATTTTATTGAAGTTTGATTCTTTATTGTATATAGTAAAATAATAAAAAATATGAAAATAAATAAAATAGCAATAAACAATAATATATTCAATTTAACATTTATAGGTCCGTTACGAAATGGATAGCAAAAAGAAAATACAATGTGAGTGTAGGATAAATTATATGTAGAAATATCTCGGTTGAACTTTTAAAAGTTACATATTTATGTGAATTTACACATGCAATATCATTTTCAAACAAAATAAATAAATAAGAGTCAAAAGCTTAAAGGATTTCTAATTTAATCACTAATGTCTTATATGATTATAAAAAAAAAAACCTTAATTACAAAAGAAAAAAAAAAAACTGAACTCAATATCACATTGCATTAATAAATCTTTCTAGTTTTGTTTAAATAAATTTATTTTTTTAATAAAATGTTTACAATACAAAAAACAAAGAATTTGGAATCCTTTAATAATCTTATCCTATTTAAAAATTTCAAATGGTATAATCAATTAATATGGTGAATTGATGATATATTCCTAGATAGTATTGTTGTTATGATGATTGTAATTTTTTAAAATATTATTTATATATTAGTATTGAATTATAGTCAAAATTTTAATTTGCACGTAGCATAAATTATTTTTTTAAAATTTAAAGATGCCTCCAAAATTTGTAGAGCATGGCTACTATATATATATATATATATATATATATATATTTTTTTGGTTTTAAGGGAGGACAAACCCTATCACAAGAGAAAAGCGTGGTTCGAAATTAAGCTTCTATGTCTTTCTAAATGCTTTGGTAGCTACTAAGCTAAGAAACGAAAGATAAGTATGGCTACTATTTACTTTAGGTTAAGTTGGGAGTGGACAGAAGTGAGAATTGAGATTAGGAAGGCAGTTTAATCCAATTTTAGGGTTTCGATTTGATTTAATTTTTTAAAATTTTTTTATAATCAAGTATTGAGTCAGATAATAATAAAAAAATCAAGATTAAATTTTAGATAAATCTCATTTGATTTGATTCAATATTATATAAAAAATTATTTTTTAATATATTATTTAATTTTATATTTAAATATATTTAAATATTTATTTAATTATATATTTATATTTAAAAATTTTATTAATTTTAGGTTGGATTAAGTATAATTTTATACAATATCAAATCAAATCAAATTAAGACATAAAAAAATTAAAAGATCATTAGATCGATTCAGGTGCAAATTTATATATATAAAATTGGCTCGAGTTTAGGATGAGAAAAAATCAGTCCTAACTCAGACATGTTATCATCATTAATTGAGATCCATGTTGGAAGCAGGCCACGCCCAAAGAGAAATGAACGTTTTTTTCATAGGCCCAAGCAAACCACGCTCTAAGGCCCAAGCACACGTCCAATGCGTAAATGTTAGAAATTGAGATGAGAGGGCACTTGTAATTTTGTTGTAATTTGTGCTCTTTTCTTGCTGTCTTTTTCCTCCATCTTCCTCTTCCCAAATCTCTCTTTTTTTTTTCTTTTTTTATTTACTCATTGTTGAGTTTAATAAATTAGGGTCTTAAAAACTCCTTCCCCAAAATGCTTGCTCGACTCGCGTCCCAGCGTCTTCTCGATATCCGTCAAGCTTTCCTTCAATCTGTTCAGGTATTCTCCTTGTTTTTCCTCTTCATTTTCCCTCACTTTCTGATCGGCCAAACACCTCTCGTTCTCATTTCCCCCCCTTGTTTTCTGTTCCGCAGGTGTGTCGATCCTTCTCCACTGCCTTGAACTATGTAAGTTCTAATCCTTCCTGCGACAAATGTTTGTTTTTTAATTTTATATTACACTCTTAATTCCCGGGATTTCCCCTAAAAGTAATACTACAAGAGAAGACTATTTTTTTTTTTTATGAAACTAGAAAAGACAGTTGATTGAATGAATTTGGTTTAATTTTTTTTTTGGTGAAGCACATTGATGGCCCAGATAACAATCCTGACCTTCCATGGGAATTTTCCCAGGCAAACAAAGCGAAGGTTAGTTCAAATTCGAATGCTTGCAATTTGGATTATATTTTTTTCCCTCGTTGAAGATTGAAAAGCTTTTTGATTTTGATGATGTAAGTTAGGGATGTCAATCTTATCCATACCCAATGGGAATTCGATTTTTTATGCAAACGGGGATGGAGATGGATACTATATTATGAGTATGGGGATGGATATGATTTTAAATTTTTATTGGCTATGGTAATGGTGACGGTAATATAGTTCCTGTTTTGTACGTTACCCTATATATATTTATATATATTTAGTAAATATATTTTTTTATTAAATAATATAAGTTATTATTTTAGATTAATTAGAATTAACAAATTTTTATTGAAAATATATATTAATATATATTTATAAAAAATTACTTAAATATATAAGATAAAAAAAATGTTAAAAAATAAAATTTAGTTTTTATTTTTTAAAAAAGCTATGGATATGGGGATTACCTATATTCATTAAATACCCCTGAGGATGGGGATAAATTTAAAATATCTGTTGGATATGGGTACAGATGGGTATAATATAAAAATCGGAAGACGAGGATGGAGAATGCTCTACCCTACTCATACCCTACCTTACCTATTGACATCCCTAATATAGTAAATTGGCATTTGGGACTAAGTTAAGTTAACAAATTTATGACTGGATTGTTAAATTTTATGTAAATTGGGATTTATGACTTTGATGGTATAATTTGGGGAATTCCTATAAACTCTAATGATTGTAATATATTGAAATCAAATGCCATTGATTTATATTCCCAACTAAATGAACTTAAAAGATTCACATTTTATGTACTTTTGTTGAAAGCTGGTTTGGTCTAAATGAGAGTAGAATAGTTTTTCTTTTCTCCTTGTAACATCATTATCTTTTGAATTTTATGGAATTTGAATCAGTTTTAATTTTACATTTAGTGGCTTAGTAATTTGTAACATTTATTAAATCCAAATTTAATTATGGTCCTAATCCTAACTTATTATGCATAGGTCAAGGAGATATTATCTCATTATCCATCCAACTACAAGCAATCTGCTGTAATTCCTTTGTTAGATCTTGCACAGCAGCAGCATGGAGGGTGGCTTCCTGTTTCAGCCATGAATGCAGTATGTGACATGAATACTGTTAACTTAAATTCATTTGATGACATGCATTTGTGCTAAGCAAGCATTGTTTCCTAATTCCAATATTAATGTTTGCTCTGCCATTTGGTTTCTGGTTTGCAATAAATATGCTGTTTTTAAGCCAAAATGCATCGCAAACTTGTATTTCATGATGTATGTTGTATTTGTGTTTGTAATATATAATCTAAATATAATAGAAAAGAATTGCTTCTGGATAAACTTTGACCTGCTACTAATATCTGAAAAGGGATTACTAGAGTGTTCACCAGGCCAGCAAGTTGCTTATGTTTGTCCTACAATGTTACCATATGCATAGCTACTCTTATCATTGTTTTGGACAAATTCAATGCTTGGAATTCTATGAAGGACATTAGACTGCAGTTAATAGATTATGCATGCCCTGTACTTTTACTCTTACTGGAGTGTATATAGCAAAAGGGGAAAACTTAAGCATGTTGTTACTGGAACATTAGTACCTGATTTGTTGTTATTATATAATTTGATGTGACTGAAGATGCAAGTTGATGCATGTAGAGGACCTATGAATAAGGAAAAGTTTTTGCAACCATAGGACTCTGAAGCAAGATAATTACATCTAGAATTGTTTGAGCTGAGGTTCAATTTCCTTGTAAGACTGAAATGCATAATTGTATCATTTTAATATTTGCCTTGTCTATAGCTAGTGTTCCTTTATCTGAAACCACAGAAGATTGTAATTGGCTAGATCTCTTTAGCACTGAAACAATGCTTGCCATGTAATATTAAAAGGTAGTACTTCATTATGCATCGCTCAGTTATTAAATATCGGCCTGAAAGTAAATATTGGTAAGTCTGTAGAGAGAATTCAGGTTTTCTTTTGTGACTAAGCTAGTTAAATCTTTGTTGCCATAATTGACATCCATGAAATTTTCATTTAGCTATTTTGAATGGTGCAGTCCTTTTATAATGCAAAAAATAAATGAATTATATTTATAGTCAAACATGTAATGAATTGCGCAGGTGGCAAAGGTTATAGAAGTTGCTCCTATTCGTGTGTATGAGGTTGCGACTTTTTATTCAATGTTCAATCGGTCAAAGGTCAGAATTGATATCTTTGTTTTGCACTCTGACACCTCTTTTATGTACCTGTCTCAATGAACAAAGTCGCAGTACCTTGACAAGTTTATTTAATTGCTTTTCAGGTCGGCAAGTATCATCTATTGGTTTGTGGCACAACTCCTTGTATGATACATGGTTCACGAGAAATTGAAGAAGCCTTATTGAAACACTTGGGAGTTAAGCGCAATGGTAAGTTTTGTAAACATATTGTTTGTACTTTTTATTTACATCCCACAAAACTCATGTCGGAGTTTGAAAATTTAGATAATATTGAAGATTAAGTATCTATTGTTTCTGTTGTTCAGAAGTAACAAAGGATGGTTTATTCTCAGTTGGAGAAATGGAATGTATGGTAAGTCTTTTCCTTTACATGTTTACTCACCTGTCTGGATCTGTATTTTTAATTAGCTTTTGAGCCTAGTTTTTGTTGGTATATAGAAGTCAGCATGGCAATAATTATATTTATCGACTGATGGCTAGTGTTCCCAGAGGATCTTTGGAGAACAGATGCATGAAAAGATTTTCTACTGGAAATTTGTTCTGCAGTTTCCAATGGATGAAACCTGTACACAATAACCTATAGTTTTGGCATGGCTTACCTTGTTACCCATGTATTGCTACTTGTCCTAACTGTAATGGTATTTGTAAGACAAAATGCAATCTGGAGATAAAACTCTATGCTATGCTAACCTTTTTTCTTATTAGATTTGACTAGTTTGACATCTTACTAATTGGTTTTCTTCAGGGATGTTGTGTAAATGCTCCTATGATCACAGTTGCTGATTACTCCAATGGATCTGAAGGATATACGTATAATTATTATGTGGGTTTCATGAGAATTCCTTTCAACTTGCTCAATTTACCATGATTCAGTGTGCTCAATTAATGGAAACCTACTGGATTTTAATTTGTTCATTTCATGTTTAACAATGCAGGAAGACGTTACACCACAACGAGTTGTTGAGATAGTTGAGATGTTAAGAAAGGGGGAGAAGCCACCGGTAAGCAACTGGGTGGGAAATGCTTGGTTTTCCTAACAGTACTTTGGGGCGTTTGAGTTTGTCGGTTTTTTTTATTTTGCATAGTGATGCCTCTAATGTGTGTTGTAATCTTTCTTCTATATCTCAGCCTGGCACTCAGAATCCTAAACGTATCAAGAGTGGACCAGAAGGAGGAAACACCACTTTGCTAACTGATCCAAAACCTCCCCCATGCCGAGATCTTGATGCCTGCTAAAGTTAACATGCCCATGCTGTCTCTAATAATGCAAAGCTTGGATGTTGCCAGGCTTCTGTGGGGTGTATGTTCTTGTTGAATTTATCAAGCTTAACCAACCATTTTTTATTGTTTTCTCTGCTGATATGACATCTGGTGGATTTTCCATGCAATTTCAACTTGGTACAAGTTATAAGATGACTCAAGTTGCTTTGTACCGGATGATTGATGTCAATGTTTACGATAAAAGCTTTGATGGAAGCAGCCCATAATTGTGGCATTGGAATGCCTTGATGTTTTTTGAAGGTGAAAACAGCATGGGATTTTCTCGGTTATAGCTGCCTAGAGCAACCACCGGGTAATGTAGTTCAGCATATTGTTTGATAGATTCGAGTAGACGCTCCCAGATTAGAACGGTGCCTTCTTCCATTGTAACATTCATTATACAAGACCTAATTTTAAGCATTGCATCAAGCATTGGAAAAAACCTGAAAAACGTTAACGTTATGTCATCATGACCGAGGGCGATTCCGTTCTGCTGAAAATGCCCTCGGTTTGGAATAGATGGAACGTAACTGGGTGGCTTACTGCTAATTGATAATTATAGGTACAAGACTAAGGGCACCTCAACTGGTGGCAAAACCCGGCTCTAACGCCCGCCAATCATCTCATTTTCTTCCGTCCAATGAATTTTTTAAATCCAATAATGATTCTGTAGAATTTGAAAAAAGGAAGCCAAATTACTTTTGGAAAACACAAAAGCAAGCACTATCAAGAATCTGTTGGATTATTACAAGAAGCATTTTAGAATAGCCAACCATCATCCGCTCTTCTACTTCTGAATTCCCTTTGCTCTGAAAATATACTGTTACAATAATTAATAATAATATAATTTATATATACTCATCCATCTCTTTTTGCAGGTCCACAACCCACTAACCAAAAATCAGAGCCCCACTACAAATGTGCTTCCATCATTGTCCACTACCCCCACCATTGACACAAAAGAAGAGCATATCGAGTTAGCTTTGACAATTCTTCCCCTTTACTTGTCAAGGGCCTGCCTGCATTTTTTGGGCATTGACATCAAACCCTGCTTTGAAAAAAAGCTGGAAAGAAAGGCAAAAAGCAAGAGCTATGGCATCTGACTTTGATTGCAATTTGAAGCAAGCAAACAAACTTATTTTTGTGGCGGGTTAGAATAGGAAAAATAAAGTGTGGGGACCCAGGATGGACTGTGGGATGCGTATCCTTTTATTTATTTTTTCTCAGGTCTATGAAGGAGGATTTGTTTCTGGCTTAACAATAGAGGAGGTATCTGGTGGTTGTGTGTGGTAAATTGCCGTGGCCAGTGAGATTGGCATGATGCAAAGCGCCTTTGATTGAAGGAATTGCATGGCAGCTCCAACATTTTCTTCCATAAGCTTAGCTACCTCTCGCTCTGTGCCATCGTTTGACCATTTTTCCCATGCTGGTTGGCTTCTTCCACCCTCACCATTTTCATCCTGGTGTATAATAGAAGAGCTCAATTGCCTGAATGAATAACAAAATACATAAAAATGCCCTGACATATGCATAATTGCTTATTTATTACCTCAATTGATGACAATGGGATGTCTGTTACAAGTGGTGCCACTGCACCAGCTCCGCCCAACCTACTCATGCTCAAAACCTGTTAAATAATTACATTTTATTACGAGGGGAAAAATTTTTTCAAATAAGATCGGTCATTTATTTTTCTTTTATTTCTTTAAAAGGATTACATACTCCTAAGCAAACCATCACAGACCATACACATAAAGCGGGAGAATCCCTTTTACCAAAAATGTGTATGTCGTCTTCACCCTTTGAAGAAGTAAAATTTCTGATATAACAGCATGAACCAAACTTTCTACTGTAATAATTAGGGAAAACATACTCCAAAGCCATAAAATTGTTCAGTAAAACCACTATTTATTTTTCTTTTATTTCTTTAAAAGGATTACATACTCCTAAGCAAACCATCACAGACCATACACATAAAGCGGGAGAATCCCTTTTACCAAAAATGTGTATGTCGACTTCACCCTTTGAAGAAGTAAAATTTCTGATATAACAGCATGAACCAAACTTTCTACTGTAATAATTAGGGAAAACATATTCCAAAGCCATAAAATTGTTCAGTAAAACCACTATTTATGACTTTCATTCCTTGAAGAACTAGTAAAAACTCCACAGAAAAAATTCAGTGATGCTTTAGCAGTATTTAGGTAAAAAAAAAAGGAATGTGCAAATGCAAATCAACCAACACTGACCTGAGTATATTGATGGAGGAAAACTTCAAAAATTACAAGGCACATTCATCTCATAAGATATCACAGACTGATCCCATAAACACGAGCAACAATGCATATGTACTAAAGCAAAAATGTGATATGAAATCAAACACGTAAACTGAGTTAATGATACCTTAACTTGGAGCCTCAGGAACTTCACATAGTCTACAATTTCATCAAGCATGGCTGCTCTATCAGTCTGCACAAAGAAATTTATGTCACCACTAAATGGAATAAGATGTATTATACATAGTTAAACTTTCTCATCGTTTACCTCCCAAGACACACAAATCTACCATAAAGTCACCCATGTCTCAAAGAGATCCCTATAACAATAATCAACTTAGCTAGGTTAAACAACAATAGTCAACTGTAAAGTTATCAAGTTACTAGCTGTGGAATTAGGACATCAATCCATTCAATATCTGTACACAATTTGACTGACAGACAATAACAGTTAGCTTGGAAACGAGCCTAAGGAAGTGACAAAGCCTCATGCAATAACAAAGTTAAACAGCTTTAAAGCTTTCATATCATAATGATAGTCATAAATCTATTGCATGGTTATATAACAAAACGGAGCAGATCAGCAGTTAGGGGCTGATAAGTTCAGTGACAGACAGCATTCATAGATTATGGTTCCCTGCTGTCAATAAGAGCATGCTCCTTACCATATTAATTTAAAAAGAAAACGATTAACTTAAGATCTTTTTTTCTTGACAACCTAACGACAGCACTACCTTCATTTGAGGATAGAGCTCTAATATAAGAAACAAGTACTTATTCAGGATTTGCCTAAAAACATATTGGAAATACGCAAGTCATTTTACAAGTAAATTAATAAAACAGTTAAAGAAAAAAAAAGAACTCACCTTGTTAACACTAGGAACAAGTTCCTGCAGTGCCCTGATTCTTTCAGCAATTCTCTCCCTGCGCAACTGTATGGAGGAAAAAATTGAATGGTTCAGTAGGGCTAGTCACAGTAGCAACCATTTGTTGAGCATGTTCACTTTGCAATTTCACAACATAAGAAGTAGCAATCAAATGCAAATTTGATCCTGGCTACACCTTATGATTATTCTGTTTCTTTCCATTGCCAAAATACACATATTAAAAATAAATTACCTTTAAAATATAATTTTTCTCAATGGGATGACCTTCTACTTTGCATATTAACCAAACAACAGAAATAGTATTTAAAAAGCAAACTTTATTCAAAACACCTTATTTGATCAAATTAGTCACTATTTAAAAGACATCTATTTAATATATCAAATTTCTAGCTTTTAAAATTTTTCCTGGCTAAGGAACTAACATAGTCATGCCTTTGATTCGAGGCCAGAAACATACACCCAAATTACTGCTCTTCAATATATTTTGCCATTCCCATGTTTGCTGTGATTATTTATAACAAATTAATCTTACCCGTTCAGCAATGCTGTGTGGATCTGTGGCCTGTCCTCGTCTAGCCCGTACTCTTGGTCGCATTGATGGTGGATGTGGTGCTGCAACAACAGTTGCCGGCATTGGTTGGCTATGGAAAACCTGGAAAGTTATACAAGTTATATGACTAATGATAGAATTTAAAGAATAAGATAGCACTAACATCCTTTTCTCTCCCGCCCACCCATCTCTCCTCTCAACAAGGAAAAAAAGTGGTAAAAGGAAAAACATCACTATAGCCCATAATTGTTTGAGGAGACCACAATCTGATGTTTACATAAAAATAAATGTTTAGAATCTAAGCATTTAATAGTGGATAAAACAATAGAAATCTTACCAGGATAGGACTTTTAGGATAGGATTTTTAGAGTTTTAAAAAAGTCTTGTGAAATATTTCCCATATAATTTGTAGAATAAACTCACAGTATAAATAACTAAAATACAAAAGCAATTTCTCCAGATGAGAGAATTTCTAGACCATGACCGATACTTTAAATTTGTAATATATAATATATTAAGGAAGCATAAGGAAGCTCAGATCCATCTTTCTTCTGTCCTAATTTTAACTTCCGTACATTCTCTAACATAATAAGAGACTGTTCTGAAATTTGACACCTTCCACAAAAATAACTTAACTCTTATCTGATGTTGACAAATTTTGGCAACTAGGGGCATGAAACCTAGCAAGGACCAGTTTCTCCTGGCATATGGACCATCAACTCAACCCAATTCCGAAACTCAAATGAGAAAAGCACAACTTTAGTACAATTACGAAATCAACTACGAGTCATTTTAATGGCCTTTAAAGTCTAATATAAAGGCAATATTAGAGGTTCTTTTTTGCTACTAGCTATACAAGTCTATCACCCTTCCTCTCAAGTTTCAACCATATATCCTTTAATCCTGGAAAAGTAAAATTTTCATTTTGAAGTAAAACTCTTGTTTATTTGCTGATGCAGGTTTTCCGGTAATTAGCAGTGGAATCAGACTCTTCTTTAATTGAATAATTCTACCCTGCCAGTTAGTTTATGTCACTTGAAAATCCTAGAAGGACCTTTATGTAGTCTTCCCTTTGTCAAATACCAAAACTTGCCATCTCAAAACAGTAACTCCCAACCCAAAACTGCTCCAAAATTGTCATGTTTTCCCTTGTCTTCTCTGCTATTAGACAGAAACACATGACATAGCAACATGATAAAAAATCAAACAGACAAATTCGCTGCCATGCAACATTTGACAATTCAAAACTTAAAATTATACAAAAGCGACAAATAACTATGTTCCATTTAGTGAAAATAAAGGAGTAACTAATTAATAAGGAATTTATCATTAGTTATTAATTATTAGCACAACAAAAACTAGCTCCTTAATTAAATTCCCGAAATGAAATTACTGTTTAAAATAAATATTTTTATCCTTTTCGGCAACCAAACAAACACAAGGGCAAAAAAAATAAATGAAACATAAAAAGAAATGATAAATTACTATTTTTCTTACGGTTTTTACATAAGAAGTTCTTCCATCAACGACCTCGTTGCGAAAGCGCTTGCCGCTACCGGAAGCTTCCTCGGGCTTCACAAACCCTCCTTTTCCTTGCTCCAAGCTTAACCCCAGCGGAAAAACCGGTCCGTGATACGCACCGCCTCCCCCGCCGCCGATTGCGCCGAGATTCCCGGCTCCATCACCAGAACTGAGCTGTAGAATCATCGGCGCTCCAGACGCAGGAGCGTTTCCAGCCAATCCACCGTCGGGTCCCGCTAAGCCCGTATCGGTTGACGCGAAGTTAGGAAGTCCTAGGATTTGCTCGAGGAAATCATCGGCGGGGGCCTCGTTGGGGTTATTAGCCATGAGAAAGTGGAACAGGTAGAAGTTGAAGTGAGTCGAAGTGGCGAGTTAGGGCTACCAAAGAGCATCTACATGCAGAAAGGAAATGGCGAAAGAGAATTGAACCAAACAAAATAAAATAAAAACAATAATACTTTTGAAAAAACGAAGCCTTTTTCTTCTTTGCTTTTTATCTTCCTTTCTCAGTAAGAAGAGAAAAGTCTACAGTTTTGGGTTTGCTGTTCTTTTTTTCTTTTCTTTTTTCTTCAGCTCTGTCAGAGAAACGGAAAGAGAAAGGAGAGAAAAACAGGGAGACCAAAAAGAGAGTGGCTATATATCGCGGTTAAAAATGTAGAGCTTTAAGTAAAAGGGGTTGGAGTTTGGTCAAAATTACGTGGGAAACCATTTTTCCTGTTTGCTTCGGTTTCGTTGCCCATTGTCCTATAGCTAGTGGTATGAAAACGGCGTCGATTTTTATTTGTATATTTATAAAATTCCGGCCAACAACCATTGTGGGTTGTGGGAGACTGGGAACTGGGAACAGTGCTTTTCAGTCTTGCTTGCTTATCCATTTCAAAACAAACAAATTCGTAGGTAATCTTACAAACCGGACAGGAACAGACAACACTCGTTCTTAATTAGATTTTATGTGCAAGAAGTTACAAGTAACCCTGCTTCTGCTTTGATTGAAACTTGTAACATTTTGAGTCAAAAACTAGATCAAGAACAAATAATAATAAAAATAATAACTAAAAACTCTTAAAGGCAATCAAATTAGTAGTGGAGGTGATACTTACCATATGGTCAAAGAACGAGGAAGCAAATATTAAGCTGGATTTGAATTTTTTATTAATGTTAATTTCTAAATCAAAAGCAACTGTTCTGCTTTTGATTAATATCAATTTGTTTCGTTTTATTAAAGGGGCAAAAAAAAAGGGTGGCCCAGTTGAAGCCCATAGAGAAGAGTCTTCCTGGGATTGGATATTAGGATTTAGGGTGCATCGTTTTAGATAGAATATGGGTCCAGTCCACACATCTAAACCTCAAATTAAAGCCCTTTGTTCTCCCCTAGCCCTAATTTTTAATTCACATTTTTCAGGGGATTAGCAAAATATATATTTAAATTTGTAATTGTAATAATAAGAATAAATTAAATCTTATATTTCATAACTCTTGGATCAAGTAGGATAAACAAAAAAAAAAAAATCATGTGTGTAATAAATTTGTAATTATAAAGTGTATTAGTATTAATTAAAAATAAAATTTACATATTTTAATATTATAAACACTCAATTTGTGTGACATATTGTTGATGGGAGGACACCAAACATGCAAATGAGAGATTGGTTTGACATATTTTGAATTCGAATACTCCTCTCAGCTTTAAAATCATCACTACCAAAATAAAATTAAAAATATGTAAATGCAATATTTATTAAAATAAAAAAAAATCCTTGAAAATTGCATCTATTTATTGTAAAAATTACTTAAAAACTTTTATTTATCATATAAAAAATATGAGCATAAACCACAAATTCATAATTATCTAATAATATTACCTCGATGAGTCGACTGTCTTGATGGTATCAATCTTCTTGTTCACCTTCAGGTCGAATTTTTGAGCTTCGTCATCTGATGTAAACAAATGTGAAGCTTCTATGTCCACCAAAATGTTCATCTTTTTGCCCGCAAATTATATTTCATTTTAAAATTAAATAAAAGATCAACAATTGATTAATAATTTAATTTTATATATTAAAAAAAGCATGTTTAAAATTTTAATAAATAAGTTATTGTACATTCTTTCTAATCAACTACCCTCAGTTTCAGTGGCAATCTCCTTTGTCTCATATACTAATATTTAACATAAATATGTCCACAACATCCACTCAACTAATCTTTCCTTTGCTTCATTTTATTTAGCAATTATTACATTTTGTACGTATAAATCTTGTCGTTTCAATTAATCAATGTAAAATAGTGAGAAAAAATCTAAAATCAATTAAAAATTATAGCATCAGTTTGGTTTTAATTAATTTTTTAATTTAATTTAAATTAAATTCAGATATTAAATATATGTATTATAATTGAAATAGATTTTAAATCAAAAAATAAAAAATAGAATAAATTGAATTATTTATTATTAATTTTTATATATTTTAAAATTTGTAAAATAAAAAAAATTATTTTATATCAAAATTTATTTAAATATATAAAAAAATTAATATTAAATAATATATAAAAAATAATTTCAAAAACTGATATATTAAATCAAATTAAATAATATAAAATTTTAATTCGAATCAAATTTTTAAATTTTATAATATTATATATTATTTAAAAAAATTAAATGAATCATATACAATCCAAATCCAACAAAACTTGCCTAAATTGGGACGGTGCGCTAGGGCTTACCAATCGTGAATAAGCATAAATAAAGCACTAAATCATAAATTATATAAAACCTGTTTATTACCACAGAGAACAGAAAAACCACTGTAATGGCTTTTGCTCTGAAATCAGCACCAGGCTCGCTCCAGTTAAAGAACCACAATACCCATCTTCTATCTCGGCTTCCTTCAGGCAAAGCCTTAGTTTCAACCAAGAGATTCACTCCAATGGCTACTCTAACCACTGCTCCAACTCTTGGCCTTTCTGACACTTTCTCTAAATTGAAAAAGGAAGGCAAAGTAAGCATTTAAAAAAAAAACATTTCCCATTTTTACTTGAGGGGTATTCCTTTATTACTGTGAGTTGGGTAGAAGAAATGGATTATAGTTTTATTATGACAGAAATATTCCAACTTCATAGTCAAATGGGTGGTTTTGTATGTGATATTTTTGGGTTTTGAGTTATATTTAAGCTGCATTAGAGGAATCATAGGCCTTTTAAGATAACACGGCTGGTTGAATTGATTCTTCTGATTATTTGTTGGTCCATAACATTTTCATGGTTTGTATCGGTCAGGTAGCCAGAGTTTAGTTGACCTTTTGTAATGTTAAGCTACGTTTCCGTATGACTCTATCGCTCAAATACTTTTCATCAAGTAGGATTATTTATAAGCCTTCTTTGCCTTATTACATTGGCTTTGAGATTCTGGATTGAAGATGTGGCTGTTTATAAAACTTTCTAGAACCCAACAAACATAATTTTAAAATTAATTTACAATCTTATGAAAATGTCAATCTCTCTAAGGGTTCTTATAAGCATGCCTATTTTTGAAGGTTGCATTCATTCCATACATCACAGCTGGTGATCCTGATCTTTCAACAACAGCCGAGGCACTTAAGGTGCTTGACTCATGTGGCTCAGACATTATTGAACTGGGTGTACCATATTCTGATCCGCTAGCTGATGGTCCTGTAATCCAGGTCTGTTAACAGTGTGATTGTTTTGTTTGTCTGTTTATTTATTTTCAAATCTCTTAGTGATGTTCTTTTGTTTAGGCCGCGGCCACACGTTCTTTGGCAAGAGGAACCAACTTCAATGCTATTCTTTCAATGTTGAATGAGGTACGTAGGACTAGTGCCCGGTGCCTAGCATTTTCACTCACATCTATTCTCTTAGCCAAAATCAATGGTTGGATATTTGTTGTTTGTTAAAGCATGGAATTGTTGATTTCAATGCAGCCACCGTTTTTCTCAGGGTAAATGCATGTTGTAACTGTTTTTTTGCTCAAAAGATTGATTATTTATCAACATTTTGATTCATGAAATAAGTTCGTTATTGGTGCTTTGTTCGTTGCACTTGTGCTATCTATTTAGAGCTTTGAGCTTGCTACCCTTTCAATGACAAGAACTCGTGCTTTACCTTTCATTATCAGTAAGATCATTGGTTTTTTTTTTTTTTTTCTTTTGAATGAGGGTATTTATAACATCTGTGCTTGTAGGTGTTAGTAACTACAAAACAAAAATTGCAGTATATCTCTTTGTGACTTCATGAACTGTTTATTTCCTAAATCAAGGGTTACATTCTAATTTTGTACTTGTAAGTTTTACAGGTGGTTCCACAGTTATCTTGTCCAATTGCTTTATTTACGTATTACAACCCAATTCTCAAGCGTGGGGTTGAGAAGTTTATGTCGACTGTGAAGGATGTAGGCATACATGGTAATCAACTTGTTGTGCTTTGCTTAATCTTTTTAGAATTTCTTTACTATTCTACTATTTTCATTGGCTTGAGTCGATCTGCATTTGTTAATTCTAGGTTTTGCTTAATTACACTTTGTTCTGTAGGTATGCCTTTAGGTACAAAGACTCCCTCTCTCTGTCTTTTTAACTCCACTTGAGCAGCCTATGCCTTCTAGAGGTCTTTTAACGCCTTATTCCTGCATATAAGTGTCATATTGCCATCGATCAACTAGACAAGTGCTTGCTATGTTACCTGGTAGTGCCTTCGGAATAGATGAATGTCAATCAGTAGAATATTTACTAATCTTGCTGGAATTTAGCCTTGACTCTTTAGTTTTCTGTTGTTCCCTCTTCACTTCTTAGGTAATCAGCGTCCTGCAGAGACAGTCAAAGATTTTGATTGTTTTCTATGAGTTATGATGAATGATCCAACAATGCCTTGTACGTTAATTAGGTTGTTTATTAGTTCCCTTGTTCACTCTGCATACTTGTCTTCCTTCCTAGCTATAGACAATAAGTGTTATCCAAGCAAAAATAAACCTGAAAATATCCATGTTTTATTTTTTAAATTATCAGGCTTTTATTAAGAAAAAAAATTTGAAATATGCTGTTGCTTGTGCTAGCTTTGTTTTTATCTCATGATTCTCTTATTTGATCCAAAATATCTATCACTTAAAGTTTGTGTCATTCTGGAGATTTATAGATTGTTATGTTTTTGACTTTTATTTCCTTAAAGAATCCCAACATCTGTATAATGTTGTTACCTCAATAATTCCATAAATATTTGCAGGGCTGGTGGTTCCAGATGTTCCTCTAGAGGAGACTGAAATTTTGAGAAGAGAAGCTCTCATAAACAAGATCGAATTGGTGGGTTGCTCGATTAGATTTTTCCACCATGATATGCTTTGTTTAAACACTTTAATTTATTGCTATAGTGTGGATATGTTTCCCTTAAAAATATTTTATTAGTTAGTTACTTATATGAGATATTACACGAAATCATTTGCATAATAAATTACAAACTCCCCATCAATCTTCAAATTACACTTTACCTGCATTTTCAGAATAAACATTTCTAGTCTGAAAATATAAGAATCTGACAAAATCAGGGGAAAAATGAAAATATATTTTCTTTCTATTGTTCATTTACATAATGTTCAATGCTCTTTTTTTTTTTTTTATTAATCTTTTTTGCATAAAGGCATATAATCAATCTATTATGACTTCTCTGCTTGTGTGGTTAAGGTACTGCTTACAACACCAACTACGCCAACAAGTCGAATGAAAGCTATTGTTGAAGCATCAGAAGGATTTGTATATCTTGTAAAATCCTCTTGCAAAGTTGATGACTCTTTTTTCATTTTATTTTCTTTAATCTCTTTGTTTATCTTTAATGTTTTATCAGGTCTGTTTATGTTAAATTTTATGACCAAGAAAATTGAATTTTGATAAGTTTTGAACAACTATTTTGATATTTCCTTATCTGCTGAAATTTCAGGTGAGCTCGACAGGAGTTACTGGTGCCCGTGCATCTGTAAGCGATCGGGTCGAGAATCTTCTAAGAGAAATTAAAGAGGTTTGTCTTGACAAGATGAGTGCCTATATCACTAATTAGTATGCCAAATTACTGAACTGGCATGGTTAGTCTGGGTGCCTATAATCATTCTGGACTATTCCTTGATATATAGTTGAATTGAGCTGTGCTTGGTGCATTTGTCAAAGTCATTATAATCGTCTTTCGAATTTGGGCAGCAAATTAACAAACTTTAAGAGATTCTGTCTTCTAATTTTTCAAGATAATTTACTTCCGCTGAAATTCTCAAGAATGCAATTACAAGTCAGTTCATTTGAGCAAAATGCTAAAGACATTGGATATTTCTTGATCTGTGTATTTCATAACTAAAATGCCCGGACATGATTCTAAAACATGCTTGAACCTTTGTCAAGGGAATTATAGATTGATGATTTGAGTTTCTTTTACTTGCATTTGATGCTTCTTTAACTTTGCTATGGCAGGCAACAACCAAGCCTGTTGCAGTCGGCTTTGGTATATCAAAGCCTGAGCATGTGAAGCAGGTTAGTCTTTAGAACATGAAACTTGATGCCTATGTGTTACCATACTTCTGCTTTCATGTAGATGTTTATTAGTTGCTTTAATATATCGTTACAGATAGCTGGATGGGGAGCCGATGGTGTGATTGTTGGCAGTGCCATGGTAAAGCTGCTGGGTGAAGCAAAGTCTCCCGAGGAAGGATTGAAGGAGCTTGAAAATTTTACCAAATCCTTGAAATCTGCACTTCCTTGACGAATTTAATGGAATTAAAGCTGACTTGAAACTTTTTTCTCAATAGTGGTTTTGATTGAAATAATGTTGAATATTTGTTTTGCACTATCATCTATGATTGCGTTTTTTAATTTTTATCTTTTTGAATTCACATCATTGGGTAATCTACCTATGTTGTGGGAATACAAGGTATCAATCTCTGATGGGAAATTTCTGAATCGGTTCATCTTAATTGGAGCTGATGCACCTGTTTGAAGGCCGGTGAAACCATCTCAGCTTGGCTAATCAATGCAAATACCATTCACAAATGAGAATAATCTGGTAGAGATTAATGAGTTAGACATTCTCAGGTCCTCTGCGGTGGCGAGTTGCAAAACTTAATCATCCTGCACGACTGGAAGCACTATTTATCCAATTACAGCACGCAAGACTGCATAAAATGCAAAACACTTCCAGCCCTCGTTTATAGATTTGCAAACATTTACTGTGCTATTGTATAATTCAGTTCAGTCCAAGTAGGTGTATATCTAGGGTTTTTTTTTCTTGGGGGGGGGGGCAAATTTCATCATTATTAGAAGTAGTTGCACCAAACCTAAAGGAAGCTGTGGACACATCAAGATGTACTTCACTTCCTGACAAGTTCTAACACTCATCCTCCGTGGCAATACGAACTGCAGATTGAGGCAGAACCACACTTCAAACTTGGTTTCTTGTAACAAAGGGTCATAATTATATCCAATGGTCCGGAAATTACCACAAGAAAATGTAAAAGGAAAGGGGGGAAAAGAAAATATAATAAAATAAAGTTCAATTCAAACATCTCTTTGCTTAAGTACATTTTTTCTCTGCCTTGAAGGCAAATGGAATGGAGGCACGCACTTGATGCACTAACCTGGCTGTTCTAACAAAAATCAATGAGCTGAGAGCTGACCTACAAACTGAATAATAATAATACATCTTCTATCACAATCGATTTAGAGTTATAAATGCAACACTTACCTTTTAACCTTCAAAAAGCTACATTTTAAAATATTAGCAGGTCAAGGACAAATAAGGCCAAATTCTCCTGGCATATGCTGTTTAGCTAATAAAACGAGATCTGAAAAAAAGGCTGCTTCATAAAAATTAAAAAAAAAAATCTATTTTTGACTGATATGGTAGAGAATAATAAAAAACCACTACTCTAAGCTATAACCTAGAGTGCATGCATGACAATACACTATGTGAAAATGTATGAATTTTTTTTAACATAGATTAGTTGCTTCCAAATATTCCTGATCCTGAAACTCCAGGGACAGGAAATGAAGATATCAGATCACTCTTGCTCCCCGTGAAGCTGCACGTCATTAAGCACATGATAATATGAACTTAAAATTGTACCAACAAACAAAGTAACAGTTGACGAAACACAGTGTGTAACACTGTATCTCACAAAGATATAAAAAAATAAAAAATCAATTCAAAATTATAATATTTGATTATATTTGACTTGATTTTTTTATTTAATTCAGATTAAATTCAAATATTAAATATATATATTATATTTGTATCTGATTTAAGATTGCAAAATAAAAAATTAAAAAAAATCAAATTAAATCGAATTATATATTTTTTTATTAATTTATATATATATTTTTTATTAATTTATATATATTTTTTATTTGTATAAAATAAAATAATTATATTAAAAAAATAAAAAAAATCAAATTTAAAAAATTGTTGAACCAAACCGATATTCTACTTATTTAGATTCCAATCAAATTTTATAATTTTATACATTATTTAAAAAAACTGAACCAAATTACCATTATCACTCCTATTATGTTATTGTAGTATAAGTTCTTAAAAGACAAACTTTTTTTCCTCCTAAGAAAAAGAATTTACAAATTATGAGGAAGAATTTCTAAACAGTAGCTATGAGCTGTCACAGAATGCTTGGGTAAGAATTTTTTGCATGAGAGAAATGTATTTGAAAGAAAGCATTAGTAGTTCGATCAGAATTTGCTTCAAACATTGGTATGAACCATTCTCAAGCAACATACTTAAAAGCCATCCCATTGAATCTTGAGAAGGTGAAGGACAATCCAGGAAGAGACCATATTAGAAGGAAACGAGAGAAAAAAAAAAAGAGGCAATTTCCCGGGAGTCAACTTATAGATGGCCAAAAAAGGGGACTTTCCCCATAATATAACTTAAATAGGAGAGGCGCAGGCCGCCACTGGCATAATTCATGATATCCTAGGGGAAATTTTGACAAATGAAAATGGTTTTAGAATTTTGCCTAAGAGGGTCTCCTTCCTGGATATTCGACGGAACAATTAAATTCGTAGCAACAGAAATTAATACAGGGAAATAAATGAATGGTAGTGGCAGTAAGAGCCAGCAAATACACTGGCAGCCTTCCCCACCAAAAGCAGCCTGAATTCTTTTACAGTAAGACACCCAGAGCTTCAACCGATTCACAAATTAATTGCGTTAAGCAAAGCTATTAATTATAATTGGCAAAGGACAAAGATCCTTCAGAAGAATTGCTTCGTTGTAAGGCAGTAGCAGTGATAGTAAGCAATAGTCTTCCACGCCAAAAGCACTAAAATACGAACAGCCTAAGGCAGACTTACAGTTGAGCATAAAGAAAACATAAGAATCAGACCAAAACAGAGGATTAAAATAACGCAATTAATTAGAAAGTAGAAGTGAAGGAGTGAAAACCTCAGTAATCCTAGATAAAAGTGCGAAGAAAGTACCCTGAAGCTTTAAACATCCACTAAAAAGAGCTATGCAACAGAGAAACAAGTACCACCTTTAAAATTGACACTACAAGAAATAGACCATTGTAACAGCTAGAAATGGTTCCACTCACCGCTAAAAATGAAGACTTAAAGTTCGAGTTGCAGAAACATAACCCCCCAAAAATAAAATGATCTGAATCTAGAAATAGAAATAATTTAAAAGTAAAAAAAAAAAAAGGAAATATAGATAAAAACATGACCGAACAAGCTTTCTTACACCTTCTCTTCCCTCTCTCGGTTCCATTGTTCAATCCTGGCTCTCCGCTCCTCACTCCCTTCCCTAGCAAGTGGAGGGCTTCTGCTTCGCCTAGGACTCCCATGCTTTCTCCTACCACCACCGCTTTCACGGTCATACCTACCAGGTCTTCGCCCATTCCTGTCGCGATGATCATCACGGTCACGGTCACGATCGCGGTCCCTAAACTCCCTATCACGCTTGTGGCGTGGACTGGCACTCCTACTCCTGCTCCGACTCCCTCTGTACCTGCGGTACCTTCCAAAGAGCTTCCTTCTCAGCTCCCTCCCTATTACCTTCACATGCATAAAATTACAGTAACCCCCACGGTTACAGTTATTCTCCTCGTACTGCCGACAAGTGGCTTCGCGGAAATCAGTGACTGGGGAAAAATCCGCAATGATAGGTCGACCAGAGTAGAACCTTCCTTGAAGTGCCTGTAGGGCGGCTGCCGCCTGGTCCTCCTCCCTGAACTGAACATACACGTTTCCAATCATGTGGTCGGCCAGGTTGTCACAAATGTTGAGGCTCTCGATCTCACCAAACTTGCTGAGCTCCTCAAAGATGTCCTCGTAGAAGTCCTCGAAATGCTCCTGGATCTTGCGGGGGTCGATAGGCTGGCCCTGAGCGTCCACACCGGGGGTGATCATGTCCGGGCGCTGGTACATGTTCGACAGCAGGAGGGTTGGGGAGATCGTCGGTCGGTTGTGGAGCCGTGAGCACCTGTCCCCATGCCGGCATGCTCCAATCTTGAAATAGAAGGGACAATTCACGCGGTCCTTCTCGGTACCGAAGATTGAGGCCAAGTGCTCCGCCATTGTCGCTGGAAATCAGAATAAAAAACAAGTACAGGAGATTTGTAGATATACTTTTAATTAAAACCCCTAATCTAATTGAAGGAGAAAGAGACCAAAAAAGAGGTGGGATCTGAAGGGGCTATGGTAGGGTTAGGGTTTTCGAAACCCTAATTTTGGTGTTTTAGAGGAGAAAGGCAAAGAGAGGATTTTCCTACTATTTTGTAATGTCAAAATGGGCTTTTCCTTTTGCCTTTGGGGATTCGGGAAGGCTCTCCCTGCTTCAGTATTTACTATTTAGATTCAGAAGGACGCGCCGAGCAAAGCTTTCGTAAGGAGGTTTGTATGCCAGCTTCATTACATTTGCTGTTATCAGTGCGATTTGGAAAAGCCAGGTAGGCAGTTGATAGTTATATACATCTGACCATCTCTAGCAGGCAGGCAGGGTCCGGAGCAGAAGGGCGAAGGATCCCCTCCCCTGGGTCCATAATGGGCTTTTTGGGCTTTGAGCTTTGGTGAAAACTGTTGAATACAAGTCATATCCTTAAATACAAGATTCAACATCCAGCGATTGGGCAGCAAAGGTTGGAACTAGGGTCGGCAAATCAACCCGAAACCGTCGGGTTTCGACCCGACCCGATTATTTAGGGGCGGATTTTTTTTTTGAAAAAACGGGTTGCGGGTCGGTTCGGGTCGGTTTTATTTTTAAAAATGTCGGATTCGGGTCAGGGTCGGTTTTATGTGAAACCCGACCCGACCCGACCCGAGATATTTACCAAAATAACCTTACTATATATATAAGTAATTTCTTTTAGGGTTCTGAACTTTGTTTCCACTAATCCCTTCGTAAACAAAGAGAAAAAGACGCGGATTCCACTTTTGCATAAGCTGACAGCTCCAGTTTCTATCGAACCAACAGCTCCGGGTTTTCCTGAACCGACTCTAATCTCATCTAAACTGTAGGTATCGAGGCTTCGCTCCCTGAGAGAATACCACAAGTCAGTCGTCAGTTTGTCTTCGCTCCCTTCTGTAATCTCTAGGAAAGAAAGGTTACTCGCTCGAGTGTTTTGAGAAAGAGAAAGAGTAATTTCTTTTAGGGTTCTGAACTTTGTTTCTTTGGCCGAAAATCTTGTTTGTTTACTAACTGATTTGAGAGCATCCGGTTCTGGCGTAGTCCCTTTCGTTTCGACAGATCGACCTCAGGCAGGTGGGCGACTGGGCGTAGTCCCTTCCGACGGATTGACCTCAGGCAGTGGTGGGCGACTGGACCTCAGGCAGTGGTGGGCGACTGGACCTCAGGCAGTGGTGGGCGACTGGTTGGAACAGATTTGGGCTCTTCCAGTTCTAGGCGTAGTCCCTTCCGACGGATCGACCTCAGGCAGTGGTGGGCGATTGGTTGGAACAGATTTGGGCGCATCCAGTTCTGGGCGTAGTCCCTTCCGACGGATCGACCTCAGGCAGTGGTGGGCGACTGGTTGGAACCAGATTCGGGCGCATCCAGACTGGGGGTCTTGTTGGAACCAGATTTGGGCGCATCCAGTTCTGGGCGTAGTCCCTTCCGACGGATCGACCTCAGGCAGTGGTGGGCGACTGGTTGGAACCAGATTTGGGCGCATCCAATTCTGGGCGTAGTCCCTTCTGACGGATCGACCTCAAGCAGTGGTGGGCAACTGGTTGGAACCAGATTTGGGCGCATCCAGTTCTGGGCATAGTCCCTTCTGACGGATCGACCTCAAGCAGTGGTGGGCGACTGGTTGGAACCAGATTCGGGCGCATCCAGACTGGGGGTCTTGTTGGAACCAGATTTGGGCGCATCCAGTTTTGGGCGTAGTCCCTTCCGACGGATCGACCTCAAGCAGGTGGGCGACTGGTTGGAATCAGATTCGGGCGCATCCAGTTCTGAGGGTAGTCCCTTCCGACTGATCGACCTCAGGCAGGTGGGCGACTATGTGTTTGTGAATGATAAATTTTGTTTCAAATTTTTTGAATGATGTCTTTGTGAATCTATGTCTAGACCCCAATATAAAATGCTTGAATTGAATGTTACCAGTGTCATTGTTTTAGGTTTATAGTATTACTTTTGAGGCTTGTAGTTGTGACAATAGGAGAATATGTAATATTATTTTACTTGTGGTCTCAATTTAGAAAAGTCTGTATAAAATCATCATCTTCAAGTTTGTGATTAAATGCTTTTGTTGCTTGGAGTCAATGCTAGAGTAACTGTTTGAATTGGATGACATGAACTATCAAAGGAAAAAATTATTACACTAGACTTTTACTGTTATTTTCTTTTTGCAAGAAAAAATGAGTAAAAATAATCATGCTCTCTAATGTATGATAGGCCTAAAATCTCCAATGGCAAGTTGGAATTCCAATTTTGTTTTAAAGAAATTTAAGGAAACTTAAGTACAATATTAAGGTCTTGAGAAATGGATGCTGAGAAACGTGAAAAAGAATAGTTGTCCTTATGCTTTTAGTAATAGTTAATTTATTTAGTTGCTTTATTTGTTAATATCAAAAATAATAACTCTAATTTTTTTTTTTTATGAATGAAGGTGAAATGTCTAATTTGGGAGATAATTCGTGTTCCCCAACACCTCCTACTTCTACCTCACATCAGTCACCAATTCAGCAAACTCCTATTCCAACATCTGACGAAAATACAACTCTATCATTAAGTGTGACTAACGAGGGTGCTGAAGTTGATAATAGTGGGTATAACTCAAGTAAGTTAAAATCAGAAGTATGGAAACATTTTAGAAAAGAGAAGATCAATAATGAATGGAAGGCAATATGCAATTATTGTAAGAAAAAACTTGGTGGTGCTTCTAAGAATGGGACAAGTCATTTGCGTGATCATTCAGAGAGGTGCAGTAAACGATTTCAAATGGATATTCGTCAACAAGTGTTGCTAGCAAATCAAAGGAAGGCAGATGGAAAAGTAACATTAAAAAACTTTTCCTTTGATCAAAATGTCACAAGGAGGGAGCTTGCCAAGATGATAATCATGCATGAATACCCCTTATCAATGGTTGATCATGTGCAATTCAGAAAGTATTCTTACAGTCTTCAACCTTTGTTTGCTATGCCTTCTCGAAATACTATAAAGAGTGATATTTTAAAGATTTTCAGAGAGGAAAAGGCAAAGACAATATCTAAGTTGGAAGCTAATGAAGGGAGAATTGCTATCACAACTGATATGTGGACTGCTGATCACCAAAAAAGAGGATACATGGCTGTCACTGCTCATTACATCGATAATCAATGGAACTTACAAAAACGCATCATCAGGTATATTTTATTAAATTATCTTATTTTGATATTGTTCATTTTTTATTAAGTAATTATTATTATTGAATTAATTATTAAATTATTGTAAATAATTGATTGTTTAATTAGGTTTGAATATGTGCCAACTCCACATACGAAAGAGGTCATTACTTCAAGTTTGATGAAATGTTTCTTAGATTGGAATATTGATAGAAAACTTTCATCTATTACAGTGGATAATTGTAGTGTGAATGATGGTGTTATTGAGTTGTTAATTGATAGAATTGGTTGTGATGCACTTTTGCTTAGTGGGACTTTTTTTCATATGCGTTGTTGTGCACACATCTTGCATTTGATTGTGAAAGATGGATTAAGTGTGATTGGAGATGGAATTGATAGAATTCGTGATAGTGTCCTCTTTTGGAGTGCTACACCAAAGAGATGGGAAAAATTTGAAGAGGCAGCGCGTCAATTGCGCATTCCAACTTTAAAAAAGTTGTGTGTTGATGTCAAAACACGATGGAACTCTACTTACTTAATGCTTCGAACAGCTTTGTTTTATAAAGATGTCTTTCCTCGTTGTGTGCAATTACATGGTGATCCTTTGTACAAATATTTGCCAACTGAAAATGATTGGATCATTGCAACTGAGATTTGTGAGAAGTTGAAATTGTTTTATGATATCACTGAAGGTTTTTCTGGCACAAAATATGCTACTGCAAATCTTTATTTTCCTAATGTTTGCAAAATCAGATTGGCATTGAATGAATGGATTATGCATACCAATAGAATTATTTCATGTATGGCTGTGAGCATGTTAGGCAAATTTGAAAAATATTGGAATGATGTGCATGGTATAATGGGTGTTGCCACAATTTTAGATCCAAGATACAAAACAGAGTTGTTGGAGTATTACTTTGAAAAGATTTATGGAGAAAATGCTGAATTTGAAATTGAAAGGATTGTACAAATATGTCGAGATTTGGTTAAGGAGTATGAGGAGAAATTGGCTTTGAAAAAGGAAGAAGGACCTTCTAGTTCAAGCTTTTCATTCTTAGATGGTGTTGATGCTACTGAATTGGGAAATTTGGGAGATTATGATGATTTTGTTTCAAGGAAAAAAAAGAAAAAATCAAAAGTAAAATCAGAGTTAGATCGCTATTTGGATGAAGAAGTCATACCAAGAAAAGGAGATTTTGATATATTGAATTGGTGGAAACTAACTGGACCTCAATTTCCGACCTTACAACTTATTGTTAGAGATATTTATGCCATACCAGTTTCTACTGTTGCTTCAGAGTCTACTTTTAGTACCGGAGGGAGATTAGTGAGTGCGCAACGTAATAGACTTCATCCATCAACTATAGAAGCTTTAACATGTTGTCAAAATTGGTTATGGGCTGAAGAAGAAGGTACAATAATATATATTATGCAATTTTATTTTTTATTTTAGCATATTGTTAGTTATTATATTTTGTTGTTATATATTATTTGTTAATAGTTTATTTTTTTATTTGTAGGGTCAATTTCATTAGAAGAAAAGTATTTTTACGAAGATGTTGATGAGAGTGAGATTGAGGAAAAGATAACTAGTTTGGTAAATAATATTATTTTTTTAATTAATTCATTTTTATATTATTATTTTTAAATATATTATTTTATGAGATTTATTTATTCATCTTATTGTTTTATTTTATAGGACTAGTGTGGTTACAGGAGAATGATGATATGGAGCTTAGTGATGATGGAATGATTTATTGTGGTCTTGAAAGATTTTTATCATGTTGGATGAAAGGATGTTCAAACAATTTAGCTTTTTATTGTGGTGATTTAAGCTTTTGATGTTCATCTTGTATCATGTATTATGTTTAAATTTAGTTATTAACTTATGCTTTTTTAATATTTGAATTTTAGTTTACTAAGTTTTATATATTTCATAATTCCATCATCTATGGTAAGAATTTATGAGTTTGAATTTACTATATTTTATGTATTTTATAATTCTATTATTTATGATGAGAATTTATGAGATTTTTATTAGATAAAAAAATAGTATGTACTAAGTTTGAATTTATGAGTACTTTTTTTAAATTTATTAATGCTTGTAATATATTTAGATTATAATTTATTACATTTTTTGTAAATTTAAATAGGTAGTATATTGAATTCGGGTCGGGTCGGGTTAAATTCGGGTAAAAAATATTCTAGCGGGTCGGGGTCGGGTTTTTCAATAACAACCTCCGAGCGGGTACGGATCGGGTATCGGGTAAAATATTGAAGCATCGGGTCGGAGGCGGGGAAAGCAAAAAACCGCCCCGCCCCGCCCCGATGCCAACTCTAGTTGGAACTTGGGGAAAATAGTCACCAAGCTTGAGAAGAATCATTTCTCACTGCTAAATCTAATTGTATCTACCCGAAGAATTTAAGCTTATGTTTGGTGCATATAAAATAGTAATTATTTTATATCAAATTTAGTTTGTATTTTAAAAAAAATATGATTACAAAAATAATTAATTATTTTTTTGATATAAAATAATTTAATTCTTTTCAAGTGAAAAAATTTATATTTAATTTATGAGATTAAATTTATATATCTAATTATATCTTTAAAAATTATATTAATAATTTAAATTATATAAATTTTAAAAAAAATAATTCTGACAAATAAATAAATTATTTTTTCATAATCTTTATATATATCAAATATAAAATAAAATAATATAATTTAATCTAATTTCATTTATAATATTATTTCATCTTATCATAATCTTATACATCAAACATAACACATCCTAAATGTTTGAAAAATTTTGCAACCCCTCTTTCAATTCCTTCCTTCGTCTACGTCTCCCACTCTAAGAAGACGACTCCTACTTTTCGTGCTTTCAAACTTTTGAAAGCCAAGATCAAACAACAAATTTTCAGGTTGCCCACCTTGACTTATCAAATAGTCTCGCTCCCATCATTATTCTTTTATTTTGGATAACTGAAAATTTCATCCAACCAAAGCAAGTAGGATATGGATATCCTGCTACAAGTCTATAACAGCAGTACAAATTCCTGTGCTAAAAAACACCAAGATCTGGTTTTGAACATAAAATAAAACGGTTACAAAAATATTAAAAGGCTAACTGTATCCACCCAGATTAGCTATTACTCCACACGATTTCAAGCTTTTCATATAAAGGTGTTACCATCCTCAGATAGTTTCCAACCCCAAACCCCACTGTGGCCACATGGAAAAAAAAAAAAAAAAAAAGGCCCTTCAACCAAACCATCATTACGTTAACAAGTAGGCATCTGATAACTATTGCATGATGAACACCTCCTAACTCCAAAAGTCTCTTCAAACATCATTTATTCAATTGAAAAGGCCATCAAAGCATATCTCCAAATAGAATTTGCTTATTGTAACTCATAGAAACTAGGAAGGGAACCGTTAGCAACTCTCTGAAAAGAATAATTTAAGTCATAATATACAATTTAATGGAGGAAATAAAACCATTACGCAATAGTGAAGTTTCAAGCATATATCTGCATTTAACGCCTCCCAGATGCCACTGATTCTGCGGAGAAGAGGTATTTAACTCGTGAAAGAACAGAATCATGTGCAGGATCATAAGGATGATCCTTGGATGGAATCTCCAAAATTGCTGGAACAGGCTTGTTATAGCTATCCACCAGAAACCTTATCATATTTGCTACCTGCAATTAAAAGGATGGAAGGCTGCAGCTTAACTTAACATACCAAACTTGAGTTGAGAATGCAACTCAAATAGAAATTCTATGCTAGTGTCTTGATTGATATCATTACTGATGAAACTATGATGGTTACAGATTCAAAAGACAAGACCTTTGGTTTATCAAACACTAGTAGCCAAAATCGGGACAGAGCCATCAAAGCAAAGGGAAATTCATCAAAATGACACCAGAAGCGTGCAAGATGAGACAACCCATCTTGCCAATTTTGACATAAGAATTCAAGATACTCTCAATGCACTGAAATATACATGTTTGCACAAAAACTATAAAACTAATTCTCTGTTCGTCTGTAAACTGAACAGACATCTTTGGCTACTATTGAGCAACAAATGATCAATAAAAAATTCCACACAGACCAACATAATAGGGCAAGTATGAAGTAGACTCATAGTTGTTACCAAGAAGTTTAGGTGCTCTCCAAATTTACAAATGCACTTTATCAAATGGCAGTTTTTTTTATTTGACCAAATCTCATCATTCTCATCATCAGTATTACTATTTACCAGTCTCTTTGGTTGTTACTGACCATGTCATGAAAAGCCATGAAATGTTAGAATAGACACTCACTCAAACAATGCACTTCGTTACTGAATCTAGCATGTGCGTATTCAACCTGAGGCGATTTATGTTCATACTTCACAGATAACTGGCCAAAAGTGACTTTTAAGGGGCAGTATGAGCGTAACTTAATGACGAGAGTGGAAGCAAGAGATGTTACATGATGTGTGCTTGTTAGCATTTCGTAGCTCTCCTTAGCCACACATACAACTTTTCTGTGCATAATACAGCTTAACAAACAGCTAGATATCTGCATAAAAACTGCAGAAAACAATTGATGTTTTACAACAACATATGCAGCAAACAACTTACATATTGGCTAATCAGCACGACAGCAATATCCTCCTTTGCTGTGAACTCTTTAAATGCATCTTCAATTTGTTTAAGAGTGGTTTCTAAAAGGCAAAAACAAAAGGCAATCAATGAGTGAAGGATAAAGATGCAGATGAAATTCACTTTGATAGTGAAAATACATGAGATGATTCATTTAGAGAAAAACCAAACAAAGAAAGAACTACGCGGAGTAAATTTATAGTCTGATATTTATTTTGATCCCAAATTGTTAGAGGATTATGCGTTGTCTTTATTTTTCTAGTTTCCCTCTCCTCTCTTGCTACCAAATGAAAGAACATTTCCTGACAAATAGGTAACTGCTTCATTTGCCAAGTTGACACACCAAAAATGCAAATGATATAACATTTAAAACAGGGAAATCTTCCTTTTGAGAGACAGTCCATCTTTATACTTCCCTATGAATTTTCTATTTTTCCAGGCTAATTAATAATTATTTCAACAGGAAAAGGGACGAACACATGGACTTCCACTTCAGAAAGAAAATTTAAAACCAAGAAACTAAAAGTTCAAAAGGCAAAATGACTTGAAATCAGAAGTTCTAAAGATGGTTTGACTCTGATCAAATGTAATAATAAATATGTAACAAAACATTTAGTTACATTGATACAAAATAACTATCAAAAGGCATACTTTTAGTCTAAACGTTCCTAAACGGCATGCTTCCCATATTGAGTATCTATATCATGTTCTTCCACTCTTTAACTAGGACATAAGTTGCTATCAGATAACCTAGGTTGATTCAGGGAAAGTTAATAACTGGTAAACCTCAGCATTCTATAAGTGAATACATGATCAAAAAGCAACTATAAAATGTTGACAAGAGTTTGATAAAGACCATGCTTAAAAAGCAAACTTTTCAAATAATAATAATGAAACACAGAAAGTTTAAGAGCATACTTGAGTCCACAATTAGATAATTTGTCTTTCTCCGCAAATCAACATTACCCACTCCAGCAAGCAGAAATCCAACCACTGTGTCCTAACCAAACAAATTATAAATCAGACAGGTCAAATCAAATGCATTGCAAATCATATGTAATGACATTAATTTCCATAGTAACAGCATTTGCAACACTTTATGCTCATCAAATCATGCCATAAACACCCTCTTATTCTTGCAATGGTCTATTAACAAAAAAAGGAAACATAATAAATGACTAAATAAATAAGTGCTGGGAGAATTCATAAAAATGTATAGCAATGAGTAAACTTCTCCTATAGCATATACCACAATCATTCAGAAAAAAGTCAAAACTCCCCATGAAGTTTACGGTTTTGGGATCATTCATCATAAAGCTAAATCCGAATGATGTCCACCTTTCACCCTCATCAAAAACAACATTCAGACTAAGTTGAGATTTCGATCGGCTAAGCAACATGCATCAAACTTGTAATAATATTTTCCACCAGTTCTCTTAATAGATGCTTTAGTTAGTTAATTTAACTAATTCATCCTTCTAAAAAAAAACCTAAATTAAATCTTTATCGAAATTTCTTACGTCTGATTGACATAAAAATCCAGGTTGTGCAGAGCTACTCCAAGAAGAATAGCATAAAAACGCCAAAAAGATCGGAGATCTGTGCACTGATTTGGGAAACTTCAAAAGTTATACTCACCTCGTCGGCAATCATTGCAATAAGAGCTGAATTACTAGTGGGGATTTGAGCTCTGTTCGCCATTGATAAATGTTTGGACTACAAAATGACAGTAACCGAAAAAAATAAATCAAAGGCGGGCGCTCATAGATGGCTCAAAAGCTATGCTCCTGTTCTAGGTTTTAGATCAAATATGACGAGACAAATAATTCTACCTTTCTCCGATGGATCGCCTGCACCTACTTTCGCCGTTCGATTTGAAGGATCTACCGCGAATTTGCAGAGGCTGATTGTAGACTAGAAACTACCAGATGATACCTGCAGACACATTGAACGGAAACACTCTTTAGTAGAAAAAAAAAATTACCGTGAGAACGACAACGTTTCTTCGCTACTCGAAATGTTGCGGGATCTTCGCGTGGGAAATTACCGTTACTTTGACCTATTACTTTAGCCAGTAGGATACCTGTGCCGCTATGCCATTTGCATACTTCTCGTGAGCTAACGGCCCCACCAATTTAGTTTATTTATGTCCAAATTAAAACAGATAACCACATTTTTTTTATTTTTTGGAAAAAAGGTATTGGTTTGTAAGGTTTTTTTTCTTTTACAGGCCGCTGGTTTGTAATCTATTTTAAAAGATATTGTTTTGAGTAAAAATAAAAAGAGTTAATAGTTATTGAAATTTGAATATTATATGATTGAATAATAATTTTTAAAAATAATTATATAAATTAATTAAATTAAATTATAATTTTTATTTTAAGGTATTTCAATTTAATTTATGTAGTTCAAATTTTCAGACAACACAAGCAATAAAATTGATGTATGAATGCATAAAAAATCTATATTGTTACTCATAGATTACGTCTATCTTATGTAAAAAAAAAAAAAAAATCTATATTGTTATGAGATCGGTTTTTCTTGCGTTAGATAGACATATGTTACCAGTATGAAACTACGAGGCTTCAGCATAAACATGGAGATTTTATTTTCCTTTCCTTTCGGTTCTTGGGTTTTGATAAACCTGTCCATTGATTGGATGGGTTTTGAACAAGAGTATGAAGTTCATGTTCAATATCCGAATTACTGTTTAATATATAAAATTTTCATTTAAATTTAATTTTAAAATATATAATATCAATATAAAATAATTTTTAATATTTTTAAAAATAATAATTGGATTTATTCAAGCCCGACGGATCGGGTCAGAATTTGGACAAGTGATTTCATGATCCAATCCATTTACGTATGTAAATTTCAATATTTAATGGTTTTTTTTTTTTCTAAATCATAAATTTAGGTTTCCATTTCTTATTAAAGATTTATTCAATTAATATCTTTTATTGTTATCTCAAACTTCGGGTTCCAAAGAAAAACACCCTAGTCTTGCGTGTTTATTAGCCTCTCATGTTAATTTAATGGATTGGAAAGGAGTCGACCATGATAATGTATGTGATATTAAATAATAACCTTTGCTTGATATCATTACTGCATATATAATTTAAAAAATATAAAAAGAACGTAAAAAAATGACAGCTTTTTTTTTTTTTTTTTTTTGCTTTTTGCATTGTACAAAAATACTTAACACAGCAACATTAATTGGCAAACATCTTAAATAATGTATGAATCAATGCTAGGTGATAAATAATTAAATATATACTTGATTTTTGGAAAAAAAAAAGGATATACTTGGTTTTGTAAATTGTAACTAAGAAAAAGTTTGGATAAGCAATTAACACAATTGAGATTCAATTTTAAGGGATATTCTTACCATCAAATAATGTTTTGGAGTGCCAGTTTCGACATCTTGATTTTATTTTACAAATTTGTTTGTTAGAACTATAAGTCAATCAAAAATAAATATTAAAAGAATTTTCGATATTTGTATTTCAATATTTAAATTAAAAAATTAAAGAAAGAGAAAAATAAAAAGGAAATGAGAGGAATGAGTATTTTTTTGTTACCTATAAAGAGAGAAAGGATATTTATACATAATGATAACATTATTAGGTTGAGAAAAACCAATCTAAGGTGGCAAACATTGAACGGACGTAATCAGATTCAACTGGACATAATTCTTTGATCAAGTGAGAATCAAGTGGATTGTCATATTGATTTAAATGTAATGTATTTTAAAAAATTTAGAACAACTTATCAATTAGCTCAATTAAATGATTAATATTTTTTTTAATTTGTTGCCCATTTTCTATGAAAATAAAATATTAGTCCTTAAAATATAAAATACTCTTATCAAATTTGTTTTGAGCCTTACTAAAAAAAATTATGACAAATTTTGACCTTAATAAAGATTAAAGTTCCAAATTTAAATAATTATCAAATATTTTTATTCATATGCAAAAAAGTATAGTTTTCCCTCGATACTCATACTTATAAGCTATATGTATATAAATATTAGATGAATTATATAAAAAATATAAACATCATTGCATCTTACTTTTAGTTCCATATTGTCTCGTGAAAATATCTATTATAAAATTATCTAATTTCTACATTATACTTAATTAATCCTAAACTAGTATGATCCTAAATAGAAATATTTTCTGTCCTTAATCTACAAGACTACTATCTTTAAAAACAGCACTATTCCACCCTTAATCCAATTCATTATATTCATATCCTCAAATCAAACCTTTTTTTTTTTTTGAAATTACAAATGTAAGATAAGTTACAATTATAATAAAATATTACATTACTAAAAAATCAAACAAACAAATTAATAAACAAATTATAAATTAATTAGACAAATTTAACATAAAGTTGAATTAAACTTACATACAATGAGATTTGAATATAAAATATTAAAATTTTAAGACCTTTTTCTTATTATTAAACCATGGCTTCATTGATATTTGACATTAAATTTTATACGTAATTGCCTTCCAAAATGGAGCAAATCTAACATTAAATTTTGGTTTACATGCAATTTTATCTTGAACGAGAATAGAAGTAAAAAAAAAAGAAAGGAATATTATGCAAGAAAAATAAAATACAAGCAAATGAAATCTAAAGACTTTGCGCGTTACAAATTGATTGTTATTATTAAAGATAATTAAAATGTTATTTAAGAAAGGTTTTGCATTTAATACAGAAGGTTTTTTGTTTTGTCCAAAAATGTTTGGGTAAGATAAGAGAGTTTGTTATGGTTTGAGTTGCACCAGTATTAAAGAAAGCTATGACTGTTATAGGAGGAGAATGTTTGTGAGTGAAAATCTCACTAAAGTTAAAAAAAAAAAAAATTAATTACATGCTTCTTAGTTTAGATATTACTTTATTCTTTATCATTAGACATTTATTAATATATTTTAAAAATTGAATAATAAAATTTTGATAAATTATTAAAAATATAATAAAATTAATATTTGATACATTAATAATATTTAAATATTATATATTTTTAATTAATAATATAATGATACTTTTTTAATAAATAAAACAAAAGGTAATCAGACCTTAAAAATAAAAATGAATTAGATTATCATATAACTTATTAGTTTTTATTTTTAAAAATTTGATTTATCATTATATAATTGATTGATAATATATTTTTTTATTCAAAAATTTTGGTGTTTGATAATTAATTTAAATTTTGATTATTTTAAAATTAAATTAAATCGAATTTTATAAAAAAATAAATTTTTTATACTTATTTTTTTATTTATAATACTTAAAATCAAAATTTTACTCAAAGAAATTGATTCTTATGCATAGTAAGTTTATCAAATATTAACTTATGAAATTATTAAAATTACAATAAAATACTTTTCCGAAAAATAAAAGGTCACCTGTCAAGCCGTACACCGAAATCTCTAGTATGGGACCCAATCTTTTGTCTTTCCCGATGGCAAGCCCCAGAATCCAATTGATTACACTTTTGCCCAAACAAAGTTCCCATCAAGTGGGGCTCACTTTCACACTTGTCCCCAATATGTACAATTTTGAATAGGCCCCGCCTATCCCCGTCCTTTTTACGCCTTAGCCCACAGATCGGGCCACACCTATGACCTAACTACACAAAAAAGACGTGTTCCAAATCAAGTAATAACTGGCCCTGACCATCCTATAATAGACTCACACGTGTACTTAGGAGTGGAGTGATCCACGTGGCGGGATGTTACTGGATTGTTTTGTAAACAACAAAGCAGTTGATATTTCCTGTTTGTTCCCGCATAAATGGTAAAACAGGTAGAAACCGAGAAAAAGGCAAGTTGCAAATTGCGGAGAAAGAGAAAGAAAAAGGATTTTGCGGAAAACGATGCATACTGTGTTCTCAGTAGACGATTTCTCCGACTCGTTCTGGCCGGTTCCCGCTTCCGACTCCGTGGTGGGAATGAGTCGAAGCCAATCTGAGTGGGCGTTGGAGAGGTTTCTAGAAGAAATTTCTGGTGCGGGCGTGGGTATCCCGGGATCGCGTGCGGGCGAGAATGTGATTGGTCCGTCCTTGGCGGCACCTCAGACGTCCGTTTCGAAAGCGGAAGAAGGTGACGGGGATGTTGACGTGGTGGAGATAAAAAAGCCTAATAATCAGAATCGTAGTCCTCCGCCGTCTGATCCGACACTGACGGTCTCGATTGACTATGATGGGAACCCCGCGATCCTCAAGAAGAAGCTCGATCAAGCCTGCGCTGCTGTTGCTTTCTCTCGTGTATTTCTCTCTTTCCAATCTCCAATTTCCAGTTGTTTTTATTATTATAATAATATAAATTATACTAGTAATATTTTTTTTTCCTAAAAGATTCTTAATTATAATATGCAAAAATCATTCAGGCGTCGGTTGTGAAGGCAGAAGATCCGTCTGCCCAAGCTGAAAATCAAGCGCTTCAATCGGGATCCCAAGTTCATGGTAAACTTTTGCTTAGTATGCCTCTGATTTGATTTTTTTTTTTTTGTATGAATCCGAGTCTGTAGACCTTTTTTTTTTTTTTCTCTAATGCCATAGATGGAACTTTTTTAGACTGAGGAAGGAACGTTTATGTCTTTTATTCTTATTTGTTGACTCTGTTTGACCACATTTATATGCAATTCCTTAGGAAACCATTTTTCTTTATACGGTAAGATCAGCATACGATTTCCCCAACCCTACAAATAGATTTTGGGATTTTTCATCTGTTTCAGTTTACGTTTTTTATATATTTTTTTTTCGCTTTAGGTAAATGTTATGGAGATGATTTCGAGTCAGTTCAGAAGGGTACTTCTATTTTTGTTCCTAATCAGGAGTTAGATTGGATGGGAGTCAATTAATAATAGTAATAAGTGATTCTGATGCAAAGAGAGTTATGGTTTGTGTAAAACATGTGGTAATTTTCTTGTTAGTGGTACTTGTATTTTGGAGAACTGATGAAGGCATCTAATTTACTGAAATTCAATCAGGGTAGGAGTGCAGGTGGGATGGCCATTATGGTTTTATATTGGGTGATTATCATTATTTTGCCTATAAGCTTGTGTCGTTGTAATAGGAGGCTGCAACCATTAAACATTGACCTTAGATCGAGTTTACTTTCTGTATGGCAGTTGGCCTCTTGATGCACTAGGACAAGTCTGTGGTGTTGAATCGAATATGGTTCATCTAGTCTGATTTGTTGGGGTCAGCTAGTGGCAGAATGACTGACATGAATGTTTCTGTAGTTTGGATCCTTCTAAGTTAACTCCAACAATGATTGTTTGGCTTCTTGGTGAACTGCTGGAAAACACTGTTTTTTATTTAGTTGTTGCTGGAGCCATCCTGCTTATATCATGCGTGACTATGCCTAATAATAGTAATATTACATGTTTTCACTGGGTGCAATGTGATTCCATCTCGGATTTATGCATGGTGAAGGAAGGAAAATGAGAATAAAGATGGAGGGATATATAAAAGTGGAATTAATTTGCTTTACTAGATTTGATAAATTTTATCTTTTTCTTCACATTTTCTAAGATCTAAACAGTAAACAATATGCTAAAGAACTTTAGAGGTCTTCATGCATTGATTTGGTTCTCCTCTTCCAATAACTACTTTACATATAATAAAATCTTGCTGATTTTTCTTTTTAACACAAATTCTACCATTGCAGGTTCCTCAAAGACACAGGGACAGGGTGAACCTGATGCTGCACCTTGTGGAATTTCGGCTGTTTCAACTACACAAAAAAAACCAGGGATACAAGTGAGGCAAACCACAAGTGGATCATCAAGAGAAGATTCAGATGATGATGAGCTTGAAGGAGATACTGAAACCACTGACAACATGGATCCAGCTGATGCAAAACGTGCAAGGAGGTAATCATGTTTTCTATTTTTGTCTTTTAGTATTGATTGGTTTGATGGTTTGAATTGCTATTTGTTCTGTTCTTTATTCTCTTTCGCTTAACATCTTTTCTTTCCTTCTCTTTTTCGCTTTTTCTTTGTCCTAATAAAAAAATTTATCTTCTCTTTTAAGTAATAGCTATAAGACCTAATTTGTTATCTTGAAAGGAATCAAATATTTATTTGCAAATAGAACTTGAGCAGTTATCTTTGTCAAAAATTAGTCCCAGCGCTTGGCTCAGGGATCCATGTTTGTCAAGGAATATAAAAAAAACAATTTATATGTTTAAAAGCACCAACGTTCTGAGCAGTTATTACCTGTCTTACTACCTGATGTGTGAACTAATAAATTCTTACTAAGCTTAATTTTTAGTTTGCTGATGCAATCACAAAATTGTCCTCAACTAATTGTTACATTGGTGATGGCTCAGAATGCTGTCAAATCGAGAATCAGCTAGACGCTCTAGAAGAAGAAAGCAAGCACAAATGAATGAACTTGAAGTGCAGGTACATCATTCCCCCTTCCCCTTGATGGTCTCGTGCACTCTGTCTTGTTGCCTTTTTTGATCCTGTAAGTGATTTTTTCTAGGTTGGTCACCTAAGAGTTGAACATTCCACATTACTTAAGCGCCTAACTGACATGAATCACAAGTATGATGAAGCTGCTGTTGACAATAGAATTCTAAAGGCTGATATTGAGACTTTAAGAGCAAAGGTATACCATCACTGGTTGTCTAATTTGCATTTTCTTATCCTGATCCAGTTATTCTGCAGTTAGTTGATATATGGGTCCTTGTGAAAGTTGAAAACTTACTTCCAAATTAATGAAAATACATTATTGTGACACCACGAAGTTTGTGAAGATTAGTCTGTGTCAAATTTTGAAAAGCCCTGGGCAATTCATTTTCCTTCTTCATCTAGGATTTAAGTATTTAATCTTAAACGTGCTTGCAGAATATATTAGCAGCAATTCTCTTGGGGAAGGAGATTAATTTGGTTATTGGCTAATTGTATGTGCTCCATTTCAGGGATCTGCTGGACATGTCCAGTACTGACAATCTGTCACCTCTATGGTGTGTTCAAGTGTTCATATACTTAAAAAAATTATTCATGATTTGTATGTATCTCTAAATTTATACATTGGATACCGACATGATCTCTTGTTTTAGTTAATGCACTGAATTTACCTTGTTGTACATCAGATGCTAATGTCAGTGTTTGGACTGTTGCCAACTGTGAAACACAATAATGCATCTTTATGCCTGAAACTGCTGCAAGAGTGATTATACTGCTATAAATCACTATGATTATGATTAGTGCAATTTTATTTTTAGGTCGTTAGGTTCATTGTTCTATTTGAAATTTTCAGGTGAAAATGGCTGAAGAAACAGTTAAACGTGTGACAGGGATTAACCCTGTTCAGCTATCTAGGCCCAATGTACCTAGTGTAGGCATGCCTTTTGTTAGCAGCCCATTTGAAGCATCTACAGCTGCTCCTGTGCCATTGCAGCCAAGCACTAATCAGTTTTTTCACCAACCAGTTCCGAGCATTGCTGCTCCCATGCATCATCAGAGAGCGGACAACAGATTCACGGGCAAAACTCTGGTTCCTCCTATTTTGAATCCACAAACTGAAGTAGGACTTGAAAATGTCAACGAAATATCTGCATTGCAGCATACAACCAGCTTGGAGCTGGTTCAAGATCAGATAGGGCACAGTGGCATGCAAAAGCAGATTGGCCCTGGTGTGAGTCCATGTGTGCCCATACCTGGCTGGGAGCCTGGACTATCGCATGCGGCTGCCAAGAACAAGAAGCAAAGTTGAATATTAGTGCCCTTCCCCTTGCTTTCTTGGATTAGGTTTCAGAAGCTTAGCTGGTGGTACTACTATAATGGGTATTGATTCTCACTGCATTTTTGTATTTAAGATGTTCATTACTATTGACCATATCTTTCATCATAACATGACTGTACTACTCGGTTCCTTGAGTAAACTTATCTGGTAAATAATTGTCTGAAATTCCTATGAAGTTCATAACTGGTGCTCGTTTTTTGAGAGACAGTCCTGCACAAAGAGATAACCGCAGGCAATTGACAGTGAATAAGGCTATCCAAGGTATATTGGTCACTGCAGCATGTTTTAACCTCGGAGATTTGAGATTGCAAATGTTGTAAACCCAGTGGACGATGGCATTTCAGTTATTGAATAAAGTGCTCTCAAACTTCTTGCTGGTTTAACCACATATACACATGCATTATGACAATTGACAAAGCATGCAGTAAAAGTTCGAGACACTTTGTGAACTAAGGTTCCATTGTTTAATAAAAAATGACTTTCGAAAAATAATTTTTAAAAAATAAATTGAAAAAGATTTTTTTATTTGGATGAATTAATGAAAAATATTTTTCATTGTTTATTGTTTTTTAGAAAATCTATTTTTTTCTCAAATAATATTAATATAACTATTAAAATATTTAAAAATATTTATTATTAAAATATACCGAAATTATTTATTATTAAAATTATTAATATTAAAAATAATTATATTTTAATAATAATATTTAATATTATGTTAATATAAAAAATATTTAAAATAAAATTATTTATTATTTTTATATCTTTTTTGTTTGTTTAATAGAAAATGAATTTTGAAAAATGAATGGAAAAGATTTTCTATTGTTTGAATGAACTGATGAAAAATATTTTTCGTTGTTTGGTTGTTTTTTAGAATATTTGTTTTTTTTTTAAATAATATTAATATAACTATTAAAATATTAAAAAATATTTATTATTAAAATATATTGAAATTATTTATTATTAAAATTATTAATATTAAAAAATAATTATATTTTAATAATAATGTTTAATAGTAAAATATTTTGTTAATATAAAAAAAACTTAAAATAAAACTATTTATTATTCTATATATTATTTATTCATATATTATAATATTATTTATTAATAATATTTATCAATATATTATATTATGGTATATTATTTATTAATATATTATTATAATATTTATTAATTAAAATAACAAGATTTATTATTATATTGTTTATAATACAATATTATTATTTATTAATAGTATATTATTTATTAATAATATATTATTTATTAAAATTATATATTGATATAATATTTATTAATATATTATTTTATTAATATAATATTATTTATTAATATATTATATTAATATTTATTTATATAATATTATTTATAAGTAAAATTATATTCAAAAGTATTGATAAATAACTTTGATTCATAATTTTTTTTCGATAAATATCTTTTCCTTTCAAATTCTGAAGATAAATTTTAAAAAAATAATTTCATTTTTTATTTATCAATAAGTCATTTTTTATTAACCATCTAATTTTTTATTAAATAAATACTTGAAAATACGAAAATTATTTTTAAAAAATTATTTTTCGTAAAACAAATGAAATCTGAACGGGGTTGTTGGCTGGAGTTTATTTACAAGATAGTTTCATCAAAGGTAAAAGCAATTTCTTTTGGGCAACTGGATCAATCAGGATAACTCAGAATGAGCCATGCCATTGTGAGCTCAATTTGGCAGGTTGGTGGAGCCATTTTCAGAGCTATGACTCAACCAAGCCAGTGTAAAAAGGCATATAACTAGGAACATTAAAGATAAAGAAATTCTATATATATATATATATATATTTATATATCGAAGATGCTAGGCACTTAACTGATGGGTAAATATAAATTATCATGAGGTTTATTGATGTTCATTCCTACTAGAGATTGAATACACCTAAAATAACCGGCCAATTAGAAGTATACAAGTTGCAAATAAGGATGACTTGGCCGATGAATCACGTGGCATTTAGATGGACTAATCAATGGTTTTCAAGTGGAAGAATTGGAACACTTCAGCCACTAATATTCTGTTGAGAGACTTGTTGAATGACATTTCATTTTTAAATAAATAGGCATCCGAGTCAGCCACTCAAGTGCCTATTTGGATTAATAAGGGAGCTACGCGTGGCGGAAACCGTTAAGAGAAGGAAGCGGTTGTCAGCCAACTTCCTAAAGTCTAGTGAGAAATCTGGAAATGGAGATTTAAGCAGCCGTTGGGGAATCTACTATAAATAGAAGGAAGCCCCCAGACGAAGAACACACGCAATCACCAACACCACAACCATCAGCTCAAAACTCAAAGCTCCACCAACTTTTTTCTTCATTTCCAACTCTTTTAATTTGTTTTATGTTTAGTAACGCTCTCCATGACCGAGTTTCCTTGTAAACAACTCTTGACTTGTTCGATTGAATTCTAAGCTGTCTAATCATTTAAACGATCAAGAATTGCTTCTTAGCAAAGTTTCTTTATCGAGTGCAACATTTCTGGGAGATCTAATACCAATAAGCTTTCTTTTTTCAAGTTCAATCGATTATTAAGTTGTTTTTAGTGATAGATTATTACATTCTAATTTCAACTTTTGATGATTTAAGCAATTTATTTGCAGCTTCAAAAAAAAAAAAAAAATCCATAGATTCATAATCCTTGAGATGACCTTAATCCAGTTTCAGCCTACCATTTTCGCTTCAAAAGATAAAAGTCACCAAAACTACACTTTGAACCTTCGTTAATTTATGTTCAAAATTCATTGACACAACTGATCAATTTAATATTATACAAGATATCTTATTAAATTATTCATCCATACATTATACATGAATCACATGTAAAACATACAGGGTGGACATGCAGGACTTTTGGCCAGAGTATATTTGAAAATTATAGTCGAGACTATGACGTGTAATGTTACATGTTCTCGAAATGGGACAGTTGGAATCACTAAAATCCGAATTTCCTTAGATTATTGTAAGACCAGAGTACTTAATGCATTTGAGTTCTCACTACTGAATTTTGGTGTTAGATTGAAGACCTGATTGAACTTTGCTCTGGAAATGTGCTTCCAGTCTGCAATCAACTTTATTAAAGTCAAAATCATGATGAAAGGTAAATAAATAAATATATAAGGTGAAACAGACGATCACAAAGGAAATGATATCATGCCTGGTTGCACATTTTATAGTCCTGATCAAAGAAAAATAAATTAAAAAAATTGGAACAGATAAGCACAAGGAAGTGATCATGCCTTGTCGCACATTTATAGTATATAGTATCAGGAGAATTATATGTGCGTGCATTGGCAAACATCCTCTTGACATCTGCTACAAACATCTCAAGTGTTACATAATATTGCTCTGATTCAACTCTTTTCGACATAGTCTTCAGATCTGCATTACAAGGATATACAGTCAAGCATAACAACATTTACATAAGTTATCATGAGGTATAATTTGATGATGGTATTACTATACCACCAGAAACTGCAATAAGCTTGGCTGGTGGTATAACTAGGAGTTGTTTATGCACAAAAGAGCACTTTAACGACTCACTAAGCTGCAAACATTTGGAATGGAAACTTGAAACTTCAGTCAAGCTGCTAGATTAAAGTTCATGTCCCTAAATTTGAAGATTCTGATTTCCAAATAAACCATGAAAATTATAACATAAAATTAATTCCAAAGTCATCGAAGTCAAAATAAATGACATCCACTGCTTTTATATAGATTTATAGTTTTCCGCTTCCATGTGAGATTTGGCCTTTGAATTCCATCACTTGTAGTTTCTAAATGAAAAATCACAAAGTAAACAACTTTCTCACTTAAACCGAAACCCACAGAACAGGTATACCCTCCTATCTATGCTGTTTACAAGACCCATAAACGATTATTCCTCTACTCTCATTACAAAGGTTCACTTACGCATCATTCAGGTAGGTCTAGTTTATAACTAAAACACTTGCCTCTTCAGTAGTTATTGCACTATATGTACCATCTAATGTTCTGTGGAAAAGGGAACGATAGTTTGTAGAGATGTGTTTTTTTTTTGGGTGTGTGTGTATGTGTCTGTGCATGTGAGTGTGCACACAGGAGGAGACATAAATTTGATAAAACCTTACCCATGGGATCTTTGATGATTTCACAATAATCAGGGACATCACGGGCATCAACTGGCTCCTTGAATGGCCAAGCATCAACATGTTCATGCATTGACTGCTTGAACAAAATCAATTTGCTTAGGATCCAATGAAAATGTGCTGGCAGGAGATGCTCACATACACATCTAATGCAACCAATCATTCGTGGAGAACCTAGCTACATGAGAAAAAGGCAAAGGGCAACAATCTGTTAACACTTATGCTGTAATTAGACCATAACAAGAGTCCTGAAAGTTTCCTTCAAAAGGCAAGTGGAGAATAGCTTCCCCTGCATCTTAGACACTGATCCATTGGATCCCAAAGGTATTTGAAGATAGAAAAAAAGTGTTTTATTGCTAGAAGAAAGGCACAAACATGCTCCTTTCACAAACCTTCTGATCAAATTCATTTTCAATATGATGAAACACCATAATGAATATTCAGAATTATACCTGACAACAACTTTAATAGGAAATTAATATGTGTACCGATTAAAAGTTTAGAAACCAGCCCTTAGAAGTAAGCGCATGAAACCAGTTAAATGTTTCTGATTTGTGGCATTGTCTGGGAAAACAATTATGGCTCTGAATCTTGTATGGCCACATTGATCAGGAGTCCATCCAGCTTCCTCTGTTACCAAATAAACCACAAATTTAGAATTCAGTTAGTTAAAACTTACTGTATGCAGACCCAGTCCTTGTATATATATATATATATATATATACCCAACAACAATAAACAAAGAAAGGGAAAAAATTTGCAAGTTGTTAAACGAAACATAAACTTAAGATATCTTCCTAATTGGAAACTGAAAGTTTATAAGGAAAAAATATATATTAACCCAACTTCGTTAAGCTAGGAATATGAATACAATTGCAGTACATTATCAGATATAACATAATACTTATAAAAACACACAGAAAGTAGTAACAGACAAATTACCTAATACAATGTCCACCTACAGCCAAGAATGAATAAGCAAACACACAAAAAGAAATTAAATGATACAATAAGAGGCCAAAG